AATTTAGCTAAAATTAATTGCATACTACTAGTAAAGCTAATTTTGTAAATTTGATTATTACCCTAATCTGCCCCAGGCATAAAACACAGTATTTTAAAAAGTATTATTCATTCAGTGCATATATCAAGAAATGCGCATATACTCACTAATGTGGCTTATTGAATATTATAAGTAAAACTAATATACATAAACTCTCTCATATACTTCACACTTCCAGGCCTTCACGTGAATAAATTCCTGGGGAGTCAAAAAAAAGCTCTCCTGAAATTGGAAAAAGAGGAAATCGCTCTTCTGAATCTCTTGAGGAGAGCTTTGTTAGCATTTGTGATAAAAGTCCAGAGATTTTAATCCATTTCGAAACCAACCGGCCAGAATTGGGTCAAATGAGGTCCCGGTAAGAAACAGGGAAATTCGAAGCTCCCGTTAACTTTAATATCTGACTTCATCAAGTTCAAGTCAGTAATGTTCCTGAATAGACTAGTGTCTTCGTTTATCATCAGTCGATCGAAATTAGGATTTATCTACTACGACGAAAATAAGCTGATGCGACAGCATGACATTTCTTCATATTTAAAACACAAATATATAATGTTTTTGTCTATCACGTAACTTACAATATTTTTTTCATTCGTGGATGAAAGACAAGCCACACAATGATCACGTGACTCCCATGATTGAAATTGCTTTATATAAAATAAAATTCCGTACGACTATGCCATGGCCTTAAATAAAAAGGGCAATATTTTTAAGGATAAATCCCTGTCAGCATGTGTAAGAAATAAAATTGAATAAAACTAAAACACTATTGCAATGCTGGTTTATTGACCTAATTCCAACCAATGCATGTCACGTGTTATCGGGAATCTGAAAGCATCGAAGATCTTGACGGAAAAATATATTAGTTATTAATATTTGTTTCTCGGGATATCCGGTGTTCTATCAGGGATTATTCAATGAATATTTAAATTTAACTAACAACGGGTCAGTGAAACCATAATTAAAATGCATTATCCAATTATTATTTTCATATCTACCTAGAATTCGTACGGATCGAGAGTCGAAGACGGGGCGCGAAGCACGAGATTCACAATCCATGCGGAGCGAGATGTCTTAGTGGACCTGTTATGAATAACCAGCAGACTTGTTGGATTTTTTTTTGCCGAATTATCAAAATTACTTGGATTATGAAACGGATGGCGGATTCTCACTAAGGTATGCTGTTAATGGTTATTGTAGCCGACAAGCAAGTTGATTGTCGATATGATATTGACAGTATTTTTCGTTACCAGTATATTTTTCCTGATTATTTTCTTTGAGGGGAGTCAAATTAGACATTGAGGAGAGCTATAAAAAGCGCACCTCGACTGACATCCAGGCACGTCCAGGAGAGCGAGAGCGAAATCGCTCCTTTTACGTGAAGGCCTGCACTTTAATAGTATTATTATTAACATTTATAGAGCGCTATTTTCCAAAAACATGTTCTGATGCGCTGTACAATACAATTCAATAAAATTTGTAATAAAAATAAATATACATGTAGGAAAACTAAATAAAACTATAGAAGTAAAACACAATATACTTTACACCTCTAATACATACAGACTCTCTGATATATTCGTGATGCTATATCATGGATTTCCCATCAAAAGACTAGTAAGTTCGTCATTCCAAGCGACTCTCTGAGCAGTCTGATTTCAATCCAAAATGACAACTCGGACTCAAGACCAGAAGTCATTTTGGAAATCAGGCAGCTGTACCAGAGGGTTATAGAGAAGGGAAGCAAAGTAGAACTCGTGTGGATTCCATCACATGTCAACATAAGAGGAAACGAGGAGGCAAATCGACTCGCCAATGAAGGTCTCAAGGACACAGCACCACTCCGCACCATTGACTACAGCACCACGGAAATCTACAGTATGGTCAAAAGACAGGTCAATTCAATCTGGGAATTAAATCTCGTTAACTTGACACATACAGATTCCGGCTGGATGACAAGATCTACACAAAGACAACACTCAATCACCCTAAAAGAGATACTTGTAGACTTATATCGAAGCTAAGGGTGAAAGAGCGGCTGCGAGACTACAAACACCAAGTCATCATCTGCGAGTGCGGAGAAGAATGTACCACCAACCATGTCCTGGTAGACTGCGAGGTATACGAGGAGGAGAGAAGGGAACTAGTGAGAACAATGGAGACCAACAACATACCATTCAACACTAAGAACCTACTCTTCCCGAGACCAGATCTGAAACTGCAAATCTTGGAACAAATCCACGCCCTAATGGACACAGTTGGACTAAGTAGAATAGTGAAGTAAGAGGGGGTCACGGTTAGGCGGGCCCGGCATCTAAACACTAAACTACATAGGGGATTTATACCAAACTGGCAGGATAGTGGAGTAAGGGGGAGTCACGATCAGACGGACTCGGCATCTAAACACTATTCCACCAAAAACAGACACCAAACCTACAGAATGGGATAGTGGAGTAAGGGGAGGTCATGATGAGACGGGCCTGGCACCTAAACACAAACCCCACAAAGATGACATCTACCAAACTAGCAGGATAGTGGAGTAAGGGGGAGTTACGGTCAGACGAACTCGGCACCTAAACACTATTCCGCAAATAAAACTGATACCAAACCCAGAGAGTGGGATAGTGGAGTAAGGGGAGGCCACGATAAGACAGGCCTCCACCTAAACACTAAAACGATGACATCTACCAATCCAGAAGCAGACGTAATCATCTACCAAACGATATGTTTTATATTAGATAAAGGGAAGAACTTCCCACTAAACCAAATCCATGGCCTAAGGCCAAATGGAAAGATTGCAAAATCATATTCTAAAAAACAGGAATCAGCTTCGGCTCTCCTATGTCTTGTCTGCGATATCACTTATGTGGAAGCAGACGTTAAACACCAAGAACGAACGAACGAACGATTTCAATAATTCTCTAGTGGATAGGAGTCTTAGCAGTGGGAGGAAACCAGAGTACCCAGAGAAAACCCATGCGGTTGGACAGGCAACCCTACTCCTTGTCACATACCAGCAGGGAATCAAAACAAAGCCACTTGACTCAATGACAGACTTTATGATCAAACTATTTGCCCCCGACCCCCCCCCCCCCCAGGAAAACACAGAAGTCACTTATTTTATGTACAGTATATGTATTTGTACTGGGTATTTAAATTATTGAATGATTAGATGATTAACTGGATGTATCTAATTGAGTGGTGTAAGAAAGTCTGGTCTACTGTAGATATTATAAAATATACTTTATATATACACCAAATATCATGTAATAATGAAATCAGCTATATATATTCAGCTTACACATATATGTTGTCTTTACCATACTCGGGTATAGACCATGTACAATGTAGTTGTGTAATAGAGCATGGCATTATTGTTGCTATAGCTCCAGGGTAAAAGGAGTGTATGATGTCACGCTATATTTCTAGTAGGTTCCAATGAAAAAAACTCTAATAACACTTTCAGTTTCTTTTCAGCAACTTGATTACATTATGACTAATAATAGACACTAAAAAATTACTGAATTTGTAGTGAGTCAATGAAAGGAAATAAAATGGGGTTTAAATGTTAATATCATACGTCTTAATCATTGAGCCACCACAGCTCCTGTAATGAGTTGATGTTGTTGTTGTTCTTAGCGTTTAACGTCCTCTTCCACCGAAGGTGATATCGCAGACAAGTTCATTTTAATGATCTTAGCGCACGCGCAGGGGTCTTTGCTGTGGGAGGAAACCGGAGTACCCGGAGTAAACCCACGAGGTTGAGAAGGCGCCCCTATCTCCAAGCCACATACGCTCACACCTGGGATCGAAACCACAGCCGCAAGCCAGAGGTGACCGGCCAACTAGAGGTCGAAGCGTGACACTCTAGACCACTAGGCCATCCCAACCCCCCTAATGAGTTGATGAATTATTGTTTAATTTATATAAGATCAAATCCAAGTAGAAATGATTAGATTTGAAGCCATTATTGAAGTCAGATATTATTTTACAATATAGAACAGAAAATTACAGCAAAACACTGAACAATGTCAGCAGCTTTTTTTTTTTTTTTTTACCTCAATGCTAGTATACGGCAATAAACATATCAGCTTAAGAGTTTATGTGAAAATCATTTTATTTGTGTATTCTAAATTATCTGAAAAAACAGTAGCCTACAATCCATTCTTTGATATCAACACCAGAAAAATAGGCAATCATGTTTGATCTGACTCCCTTTTCTGTTTCCATCACTTTTCCACCGAAAAACTAGCAGTTAGCCGTCCCTACCGTGTCCACATGGAACTTCCTACTTTCTATTAGGGTTGGGTTAGGGTTAGGGTCAGGGTCAGGTATTTAAGATTAAAACCTATAACACAAAAATGGGAGTCACATCAAACATGAATGCTGAAAAATAAATCTGATCATTAGTGTTTAGTTTAATAGGACTTAGCCTGTATGTTAAAATATAAAATAAATAGTAAACAGTAAATCCCTTCTTTAATATCAAATCTAGGTAGTCTAAATATATGTTAAAATGTGAAATTAATTACCTTTATATTATTAATTATCCGTTAGTCTATATGTTAAAATATAAAATGAATAGTAAACAATAAATCCCTTCTTTAATATCAAATCTATAGAGAATAGTTTAATATAAGTAGTCTAAATATATGTTAAAATATGAAATTAATTACCTTTATATTATTAATTATCCGTTAGTCCATATGTTAAAATAGAAAATGAATAGTAAACAATAAATCCCTTATTTAATATCAAATCTATAGAGAATAGTTTAATATAAGTAGTCTAAATATATGTTAAAATGTGAAATTAATTACCTTTATATTATTAATTATCCGTTAGTCTATATGTTAAAATAGAAAATGAATAGTAAACAATAAATCCCTTCTTTAATATCAAATCTATAGAGAATAGTTTAATATAAGTAGTCTAAATATATGTTAAAATATGAAATTAATTACCTTTATATGATTAATTATCCGTAAACCTGCTTTAATACATGCCCAACTGTCGTCTAGCAGACGACTAAACCAAATGCTCGTAGGATATTAATAGAAATATTTAACTCAATATTGTCTACCTCAGTCATTGGCTTACTGCTGAAAAAATCTGATTGACTTTCACTTTCTTTCCTTCTCATGAGATTAACTAAGTCAATAGTTCAATGGTTAATTGGCTGTGTAGGTCTAAGCTATAACTAAATAAATCTATACCTTGTCAAATATATAAATAACTTGTCACAAAGTAGAATTAATAACTTTTGGTTTATGATCGTTTGTATTACAAGTAATTTGATCCCTTATTGATTTAAACTGTTTATAGGACCATTACTGAGAATAAGTTTCCAATGATGTCATAATTCTTAGAAATTGTCAGTGTCAGTATTTAACCTGAAAAACACTCAAACTAGAACTAAGTTCTGAAAAGTTCTGAAGTTGGGAAAACCATATGTGAAATTGTCTTTGTTGATTTTCTAGTTAAAGCTGTGGTGGCTCAGTGAGTAAATACACTGGTTCACTAACTAGGAGGCCCAAGTAGGTTTGATCCCGATGTTGGTGAGAAAGTTCCTTGTGATGTTCCAGCCTACTTTTCTCTTATCAGTAGGGTAGGACAGAAGGCATAGCAAACAAATTAAATGTCTAGTCGTTCAGATGGAACAAAAAAGTGAGGTCTAGTCATTTAATCACTGACATGCACATAAAGAGATACCTTGACAGTTGGAATTCAGTGAATTTTTTTTTTTGTAAATAATATTTTATTCACGGGATACTGAAACAAGCCAAAGGCTTATAAAAATTGACTTCGCAAAAGCAAGATACATACACTACGGCATGTGCCCAGTTGATGGAGATAAGTAGGATATGAAACCCACTCCACTCCACCCTACAATGGAGCACATAATCAGTTATATCTTAATACTGGCTTGATCTACAGACATGAAATCCTCTAGGTAGACAGATTGTTACCCTTCATATAAATCAACAGGTAAAAGTTAATGAAACAGACAATTTTATATTTGACCCAAATCAAAGATATCTAGTAAGGTAACACAGTCTTACAATTCATTTCCAGAGATTATATAGTCTTTGTCTATTAAGGACAACTATAGGATAGACACATCCTACTGATGTTCTCTGTGCTATGTACAAGACTTATATGATGTTATAATCCTTGACAGGCATTTAGAAATTGACTTATAATATATTACTAGGACACTTAGTATGGTAATGAAATAAAATGAAATGGGGTTTAACGTCCTACTGTTCTGCTCCTAAACTGGGCTAATGAAGATGGGCATAGGCCATACAGTGTGATATGAGGGAAATTTTGCCCGGGCAGCGGCGCTACGGTCTACTCTTATATCGAATTCCAACTGCCATGGGTTCTTTTATGTGCACGCCAATGTGTACACGGGACCTCGGTTTTTCGTCCCATCCGAACGACTAGACAGCTGTCCTTGTCAGGCCCTCCGTCCTGCATCACTGACAAGGGGAAACCACGCCGGAAAATCTGGATGAACTTTCTCTGCCAATGCAGGGAATTGAACACCTGACCTCTAGGCTAGCGAGCCAGCGCCTTACCCACTTAGCCACCATGATCCCCCACTTAGTATGGATACAATACCTCTGTTTATTATACTGCAACGTTTCAACAAGATTTCTCAAGTTGTTTTCAAACACTGCTTGAAAATGACTTGTGAAATCTTGTTGAAAATTGCAGGGTAATAAAAAAAGTGTTTACTTTACTAAGTCTCGTAGTATTATATGATTTTGTAAATAGATCATGTCTTTCATAATTCCAAAATCAGCATTTTTATTGAAAACCATCTGATTTGATTGAATCAGTTTGCACTAAGAGTGGACAATGGAGAAGACAAAGATGGTGTGATATCCGACATCAACACATCATGATTGATAAATCTGTTTAGTCTTGTGAGAAAGCCAGAAAAATGCCTGAGTTATTAAATAAAATAAATTATTTTCTTGGAATAAGATTGCCAATAAATGAAACGGCAAAGACTATGAATGGGAAAAGCAAAAAAAAGTCTAGTTAAAATGTTTAGTCTCACAGAAAAGCCAAGGATATGCTGAGGGTCTTAAACAATCTGGATAGAAGACAATGATGTAAAAATCAAAAGAAACAGCCAAAATAAAGTTGATGAAATGATATAAGATATAGTCATATGGCAACTACCTACATCTATTGACAGTTCTTTAGATTTTGTCACATGAGATAATTGTTTGAATTACTATTTTTTTGTAATTTCAGATAGAAGTTGTGATTTTTTGGTGAATTCTGGTGTGATGAATAGTAAAGCTACAACAACTTATGGTGCACCTAGAGATATCTGGGTCCAGTATTCGGTTGATGATGTAAAATCAGGTAGGTCTTCGCTTGACTGTCAGACATAATTGCTTTTCTTCATTAGCCCAGTGGGTGCAGAAAAGTAAGATGTTAAACCCCTTTTCATTTAATTCTGATATATTATTTACAAGACTGACTACTATCTTAATCTATTATCTATATTTGTGAGCCAAGGTGACAGTTACGGATTAACCTTGTGGGGGGCCCGGGACATACCAACTGTGCGGGGGCCCCATTGTTGTTTGTTCAAATTGTTCGTACTGACAGCGGATCGTACTAGTATGTACTCCGCCCCCTTGAGTGCCTAGGGTGTTTTCCTCCAGGAATTTTTTTTTAAAATTAGGATTAATTTCAGTGCATCTGTTGGTACCTACCAGTCCCGGGACCCCTGATATCCCTTACTGGCCAGGCCTCTATCCTTGCCCCCTCAGCCCAGGTACTGGTTGGTTCTGTCCAGGATAAAATATTAGTATGACCCAGAATTGTGGGGGGCCCCAATCCCCCCCCCCCCCGATCCGGTACTGCAAGGTGACTCAGTAAGGTGTTGGCACACTAACTAGGAGATCAAACCGGGTGTTGGCAGAGACAGTTCCCTGTGATTTTCCAACTTGATTTCCTTTTGTCAATGGTGCAGGACAGAGTGCCTGGCAAGGAACAGTGTCTAGTTGTTCAGATGGGAAAAATAACCGATTAATTCAATTTCATTTCAGGTCATTTCATATTGGTCCTTTCTTTATTAATGGAGTTATTTAGGATGATTTATTTGTGTTTATTTTTAGGTGTTTCTGTTGTTGTTCAGTGGTTCGATAAACCTCCAACTCGTCTACCAGAAGCCATTTTCTTCTCATTTCAACCTGTACCTCAATCTAATGATCATCATTGGTTCTTGCATAAACTAGACCAATTAATAGATCCATTGGATGTTGTTATTAATGGCAGTCAAAGACATCATGGTAATTAAGTTATACATTTTATTAGTGATGGGTACAACTTTTCACTTAATTTTGCTAAGAAATTTTGTTGTAATGTTTTGAAGGGAGACATGAGTGAGCACTGACAAGGAAAAGTGTCTAGTCCTTCAGATCGTATGAGGTCCTGTGTTTACCCTGACAGTTGAAAGTTGAAATAAGAGTAGACAGTAGTTCTGCTGTCTGATAAAGATTTCCCTCAAAGATTCATTAGCTTGGTTGGTTCAGAAAAGTATGGCAATAGCAAAATTTTGATACATTTGCACTCAATTCTTTATAGTAAAATTCTGTGAATAAGAATGGTAAAAACCCTCAGAAATTGTTAGCTATGTGAATGCATCAGGATGTCTATGCTGAGACAAAAAAGTGATCATGCAGTCTATATACCTGTACACGATAATCAATACTATCCTTTTTTCACTCCGGTTGTACGTGGCAAGGAGTAGGGTCGCCTGTCCAACCTCTTGGGTTTTCTCCGGGTCCTCCGGTTTTCTCCCACTGCTAAAGACCCCTACGCGCATGCGAATTCTTGAAATAAAATTAAACCATATGTTAGTCCCGAAATGACCTAGTTTGTGTCGAGTGGATGTTAAACCCCATTTCTCTCTCTCTCTCTTTCTCCCCTTTTTTCACTGGGAGCCACGGTGGCTCAGTGAGTAGGGCATTGGCTCGCTAACCTGGAGGTCCTGTGTTCGATCCCTACGTTGGCCAAGAAAGTTCATCAGGATTTTCCGACGTGGTTTCCTTTTATCAGTGGTTCAGGATGGGACGGTTGTCTAGTCATTTAGATGGGACGAATAACCTATGTCCCGTGTACACATTGGCATGCAAGTAATATAGAGCATTTGACAGTTGGTATTCGAAATAAGAGTGCCGCTGTTCGGGCAAAATTTCCATCATAGCACAGTAAGCACACTACGGTACATGGCGTTTGCCCATATTCATTAGCTTAGTAGGAGCAGAACAGTAGGACGTTAAACCCCATTTCATTTCATTTCCTTTTTTCACTGTTCAAATACCACTAATGTTTTCTGGGGTTTTTTTTAGCAATTGACAAAGGTGTTGTTTATGTTAACAAGGAGATGAAAGGCATGGAGATAAACTCTGTAGATGCTGCCATAGCAACAGTATTAACATCATCAGGTTCCTTGTCAACACTCCCTTTACCATTGACCCCTCTTAAAGATGTGACTGGGATGAGTTTTAATCTATTTAACAATGTCTGGGATGTCAACTGGATATTTTGGTATCCATATTTAACAGAAGATAAAGACCAAAAGTTTAGATTTAATATTCAATTTGCGTAATATTTTCACAACTACGGGTAAATATGTCCTTTACTGTGATATTCATGTAGCCCATCAGAAGGTACTAGCTGTTCGAGAACCTAGCCGGTTGGTAAAAAAGAAAATTTTATTTATTTTATTCATTGTGGTTATGCAATTAAATTGGGGATGTACAAATAAATTTGTATCTGAATTTGAGATTATAAATGTTATAGAAAGTAAATTTATTTTAAAGGTGGTTAATGTATTGGTAGGCTTGAGTAAAATATGATCTTAGAGTTCTGATCATTAATTTAATCAAAGTATGTTAATTTTGAATATGATATTTTTTAAAATTAAATACAGTTATTTTTTTGGTGAAATTAATCTTGCATTCAAAATTTCAGTGTTATAAAGTTTATGTAGAAATGTCTTTATTTATTACATATAAAATATAAAGGGCATCAACATGTCAGTGTTTTACAGTTTATTTAGAAGCCTCACTTTATAATGAAACCCTAGTTTATGTAGAGAAGTCTTTAAGTATTACATATCATAATAAAGGCCTCTCTATAATAAAACCCAAGCTTATATAGAGAAGTCTTTAAGTATTACATAAAGGTCTCACTATAATGAAGCCCAAGTTTATATAGAGAAGCATTTAATATAAAGAAGCCCAAGTTTATATTGTATTGTTATATAAACAGTTTATGTTTGTTAATGTGTAATTTATTATTTTCTTCATACATTCCCATATATTTTGAATTTGTAATTGTTATTTGTACATTTGTTTTAATTGATTGTATATAATTTTATGCTTCGGTCGTAAAGATATATGCCTGAGAGAGTCAGGACCGTAATTATTATACGACCTAATATATTAAGTAGATATTTTTTAATGCTTTAAATTAGTTGGCACTATCACATCAGTGGAAGCGGACGTTAAATAAAGCTAATTCAAAGCTGGCGAGTAATAGTTTAAAACATCAACTATTTGTCATTACTGGTTGAAATACTATTGTTAACTCATTTATTAAGGCTTTATGAAAATTATCATTTTGTTCCCTTGGTCATTGGAGACATTGTATAAAAATACAAATATTTTTTTGTGTAAGAAAAAGTGACATAATTAACATCATTGATATTTGATAAAATATTTTTTTAAAAAATGAAATAAGTCTGATTAATGTATTGATTTTATATTTGACAAACATGACATTATTTAGTTTTAAGTTATTTTCATACTTTTATAGTGTAATAGTGTTTAGCTTGCAAGGAGTAGTCAATTCAAAAATTAAGCTCTTTTATAATATGCCAAATTACATGTGTATTTAAGCTAGAAATGAATTCTATCCACGATATTCAGCTGTTTTTTGTGTTTACTCAATTTGCCTTAATGTGCCCCAAAAATAAGATTGGGGTTAGATTGCTGAATGGTTTCCGTGCCTGCTGTATCATAAGGTCTGTCATTGAGTCAACTGGCGTGGTTTAGATTCACAAGTTATACGTGACAAGGGGTAGGGTCCAACTTTGTGGGTTTTCTCCAGGTCCTTCGGTTTCCTCCCACTGCTAAAGACCCCTATGCGCAAGCGAATTATTGAAATAAAGTTGAACCATATTAGTCCAGAAATTACCTAGTTTGTGTCAAGTGGACATTAAACCCAATTTTGCTCTCCAAAAATAAGATAACACTTGAGTGCTGTGCTCAAAACAAAACACAGATAGACTAACAACTAAGTTGTTGATCAAGACTTGACAGTTACAATTATTCATTAGTTTAAATATCGTCCCAGGTTTATTTGTGACAGCCACTGGGAAGGGAAGTAACTTGTATATTTTTGTTGGGATCAGACCACAGTTATTCTCAACTGATTAGTGAGTTGTAATCACCGACAAGCGTGTTCTTTTGTTATAAGCACCAAAAGTATTGCAAATGATTTTTTAAAAATTGACAAAATTAGTGAGTGGTTATCTGAAATCACCACCAGTTATTAAGGAGTTTTAAGCTGTGGTCATTATAGTGAGGTGTAATCTATGGTTACCACCAGTGAGTTTACCATTAGTTATTAGTGAGTTGTACGGTTATCAACAGTTAGTTGTAATCTGTGCTCACCACTAGTTATCAGTGAGCTGTAATCTACTGTTACCAGAAGGGTTGGATGACCGAATGGTTAGCACATGTGCGCTGTATCATAAGGTCTGTCATTGAGTCAACTGGCATGGTTTCGATTCCCGGGTTGTACATGACAAGGAGTAGGTTCACCTGTCCACCCTCGTGGGTTTTCTCCAGGTCCTCTGTCTTCATTAGGCCGGTCGGAGCAAAAGAGTAGGACATTAAACTCCATTTCATTCATATATACAGGGGTCTTCATTTGCTACAATCCGGTTTCCTCCCACTGCTAAAGACCCCTACCCGCAAGCGATTTATTAAAATAAAATTGAAGCATGTGTTAGTCCCGAAATGATCTAGTTTGTGTCAAGTGGATGTTAAACCCCATTTTTCTCTCTGGATGTTAAATCCCATTTCTCTCTCTCTCTCTCTCAAGGACAGTACCACTATGACCTACTCTTATTTCAAATTCCAACTGTCAAAGGATCTTTTATGTGCACGTCAATGTGTCCACCGTTTTTTTTTTTTTGTCCCATTCAAAAGACTAGTCACACTTTCCTTGCCACGTCCTTCCCCCTGCACCACCGACAAGGGGTAACCGTGCTCGAACCGGACTGTAAATAATAGACACATGAATATTAAAAAAGATAAATTTATTTCATAATTATAAATAAAGATAACTGAATCAGGATTTGACATCAATCTGATTAAAACTAAATGTTAGTTTCATTTCATGTATTTGATTGGTGAAACCATTAACATGTTTAGGTCATGACATGACAGCATATAATCAGCCAATTAAATGTCATGATAATCAAACTTTTCTGTATGGATAGATTGATTTTGAACCATAATGTAATAAATTATAACACATGGTCTAGAGTGTCGTGCTTCGACATCTAGCTGGCCGGTCACCTCTGACTTGCGGCTGTGGTTTCGATCCCTGGTGTGAGCATATGTGGCTTGGAGATGGGTTTGTTCTGGGTACTCCGGTTTCCTCTCACAGGAAAGACCCCTGCGCATAATCAAAATGAAAAAATAAAACTTGTCTGCGATATCACCTTTGGTGGAAGCAGATGTTAAACACTAAGAACAACATATGAAAGAACAATTACTGGCTTAATGCTCTGTCCTGTTACTAAATGCCTCTAAAAGATTATAATCACAATGTACACATTGTTGAACACATCCTATAAAAAAAGGTTTTTACAGTAGGTTATAATCATATGGAGAAAACAACTGAAGAATAATCAAATAAAACACTATTTATGGATAACAATTACTATGGTTTATTTCACTGTAATTCTTATCCACAAATAGTTATTTATTTGATTATGTTTTATTTGATTATTTTCCAATTACTAAATGCCATTCAAAGAACTGAAGAATAAAATGGAAACAAAACCTTTTTGAGCATAAAAAACCCTGATTGAGTTGGTAAAAAATTAACAAAATCATTTAACAACATACAAATAATACAATTTTAACACATTGATTATAAAATTTTCAAATTCTTCTTCTTAAGGGAATGCAAGAAAATAGAAATGCCATGGACATTATTATCATAAAATTGCTATAACCATCAAAATTTTCTCAGAATATAGAAATCACATGAAAGAAAACTATGATTCAGGCCTAAAATTTTACTAGAATGTACAAGGAATCTCCTGACAATAAACTTCAAAATCCTCTGAATCAAAAGATACAGAGAACCGAGCTGACAGATTGTTTTTTCATTAAAATAATTGAACTTATGAATATTGGCAAAAATATTCCATACAAATCTTCAAGCAGTGAAATAATCAGGTCAGCAAGGTTCCTTGAAAATCAGATTCTGAGATTTTGCAAATATCACAGTAAAGGTTAAAATTAAATATTTCTATTATTCCCCCTGATATTGATTCCCTTTTACTTTTGAAATTTTATTACTCCAAACAGGCTACATTTACCATATATGCAACTTAAAATACAATTTGTTTTTATTCAATCATGTCTGTTTCGATCGTGTATTCAATTAAATACCTTAAGCTTAACTAACCACCTTAAGGTACAATTTCAGCTCAAACCTTAAAGCGTATTTAGTGTTGTTCAGTGGTTCGAGAAATTAAACTTTATGTGTATATTTTTTGTGAAGTAGTTACAAAAAGATAAACAGACATATTATATTCATTGTTCTCAAATTTAAATTATTATGTCACTACATTCCACCTTACTTTACCAAAAATAAATGGTCAGAAGCAAACCAGGAATTAACTAACTTAGAGACTTGTATCCAGTTGAATTAACTATTTTATGACTACAGGGCCGGCGGAAGCAATTCTTGATTGAGGGGGGGGGGCTTCCATCCTAGGTCCTTATAGGCAATAACCTGGAGAAAAGAGTACTTGCGGCCAATTTATTGGGGGGGCTTTAGCCCCCCCCACTCGACTGGGCCTGGACTAAAAAGCTTACTTTTCCTCAAATGGTCATAAGCAAATTCAGAATTATCTAACTAGAAAGCTTAGCAAGTTGTAAATAACTATTTTATAACTAAACAACTTCCTTTCCCTTATATGGATGGCCATATGCTAAGTCAGAATTATGACTAAAAGATATCCTTGTCTTTCTCACTCCTTGGGAAATTTAACATGAATCGAAATTTCTGATTTTTATCTTGAGCTAAATATGGATACCAGAATATATAATTAACATCCCATAAATTATTATATAAATTAAAGGCCATGCCCTTTACATCTTTAATACATGTTAACGGCAATGGTAGGCTGGATGCTCCATTCTCAGATGTCAATACTGTCACCATAGCAACATCTGGAGATTCGATTAGTAACCCTGACGACAGTTTTGAATACATAACTCCTCGATCAATGACTGAAATATATATTTATCATAAATTCAACAAATTGATGGTATTTGTAGTTTCTTTAGAACTTCAACACAATGATAGAATTTTGCCCATAGCCCCATTTAAATCTCTTCTTTTCCTATTTTCGACTGCCAAGAGACTATTTATGTGTAGTACTCCCATGTTTTTTTGTTTCATTTGAAGGTTCTTCTAGCTGGTACGGCATAGAAAACAGGTGGCAAGAAAGGTGGTGAGTGTTAAATGACATTTTACAGCAGGCCACATTTAATCATTATTATAAACACTTGCCTGTGGCGCTGACAAGTAAAGTCCTGTCTAGTCAGTCAGATGTGACATGTAAGCATGAAAGGACACGTAGAAAAATAGGTTGACAGCCAACGAAACATACGCCCAAAACAGCTAAGTCATCCGGGTAGTCAACAAGGGTGGTCGCATATTTTTTCTTTTGTCGGTAATGAAACAGTGTATTAATTCGAAGTCAATCAGATATCTACTTTAGCCTCAAGAGCATCCACATGTTTACCTACTTTTCCTCAAATGATCACCTGTGCATGTTCTAAAACAACACATGGCTGGTTGATCAGTAACTTGAACACCTGAGTCATAACAAAAGAGTCCAGTGTGTAAAACTTTATCCATTCTTACCGTGTAATCTCTGACTACCATTAGTAACCACATTCAGAGGATCTAGAATTTGATCTAATTTATGTAGTTGCCATTGGTAACCTGGTCGTGTTTTTGATTGAAATGAGAAGAAAATGGATTCTGGTAATCTGGTTGGTTGTTTATTATACCACTGTACCTCTATCGCCATGCCTACAAAATATTAAATAATTACTATCAGTCAAAATATCTTAAAACCAAAAATAGCTAAGAAATCTTTTGAAAAGCTTTAAATTTCCAGATATTTGCTTGACTGTCTAATCAATGCTGATATGTACTTTTCCTAAAGATGTCATTGGTTGTTAATTTAGCACGTTTATTAAAACGCATATTCTATTTTGTTTCATTTTTCACAATTCAAAATTTAGTTTTACTTGTTTTCACTACATAAAGATCTGGAAGTGTTCATCCGCGCACAACTGCGGGTAGACAGTCACCGCAAATGTATTTCCAAATGGCCACTTGAAAAACCGATGCTGATTGGTTAATCGAATGGCTGACGTTATAGGGTCAACAGCCACTCATATGACCTCTGACATAACCTCCCACTACACCCAGTCAGCACTTCATGTAGTGGAGGCCATCGAAAGTATAAAAAAATATATAGATCTATATTTGAAAATTCCCAGGATTATGAATACAGGAATATTACGTGCTGCCAATGGTATACATGGGATTTTCTCTCCCTGTCCCTTTAATACCGGCATCAAGTCTGGGAAGTCTTGGTTAGTGACCTAGCTCCATACTGACCGAGTGGCTCAGGCTGGATTAATTTGGGGGTCTCTATCATTCAACTTGAATTAAGCAAACCCCTTGTATCTCCCAGACCTTGTGCTTATTTGACTGACTAGATGATCTGTTATAAAATCATGTTATAAAAAATATATCACAAAAAGTTTTCTGATCCAGCCATGGTGTCTCGAGTTTGATTTTTACTTCTTTTGGATAATGATAAACACTTTAACATCATATGAGCATTTGGGAAGAGCAACCATGTATTTTGGGGTTATCCCTTTTTAAGTTAAATTTTCCCCAAAAATAGATAGTAAAATTTTAATAGGTGTTTCCGAAGAAATGGAGTGGACTAAGCATCATTTGTGGATCTAGAATATAGTTAATCTAAGTAATTGATATTTAATTGTTACCTAATTCTCCTTCAGGTTTTGTATATCTAATCCAGATACCTGGTGGAGCACCATAATACGATACAGCTCTACTCTCAGCTATCTGTATGTGGATCAAAAAATCACACTGAGAGTTTTCTGAAACAAAACAAATGTCAGTTTCAATCATCAGGAGCAGAGTCCATATCAGATACACTCAGTTGTATGTTTGGAAATGAAACCAGAGTCTGACTAACATGGAAAAGTTGGAAACCCATAATATAACTGTACTTGTTCAATCGTGATGAAAAAGCTATAGTTAATGCATTTTGTACAAGACAAAAATTGAGAAATCACACTCATCTGAGATGAAAGAATTTACACTCCACATCCCATGCATGAGGGAGCATAAAGTCATTTCAAACCTTAACAACAATTAGCCCTTTCTCTCAATTCTATCTTAGTTTAGTTTTGATCACTGAACAAAATATACCATATCTAGCTTCTGATACGATTGGTTGATTCATCGCAGACACATCTGTAACCGCGTTCCCCAGTTTTGCGAAAGTGTCAATTACAAATATTTAGCCAAAAAGTACTCTCACTCTGACATAACACCACATTCTTTGTCTAAAACAATAAAATCAACTAACTGTTATTTCTGTAGCGTTGTACCAACCTAGTTCTCCAAAATTTACTCTCGGACTGAGCGTTTTTAGTGAGGTTAGGTTTCCCAATACCCAAGAAGAAATGTTTCGAGTATGGTGTAGTAGCTGCATCCAGTACATCGAAGTCTGTCTGGTTATAGGTCTGGTATAAAAACTGACCCAGTGGTTCTGTTTCTGATGCCCAATTTGTCTGAAATTCAAATATACCATAATTCACTTTTAATCATCGACATGAATTTTCATTTCCAGGACTTGCCATTAGCTATCTGTTCTTCATTAAATGAAATATCAAATTACAATCTGGAATGATCTGATCAATTGTCAAATGAAATGAAATGGGATTTAACGTTTTACTGTTCTGCTCCGACAGGGCTAATGAGGACGGCCAGAAAAATATTGCTCGGGCAGCGGCACTATGACCTACTCTTATTTCAAATTCCTACTGCCAAGGAATCTTTTACGTGCATGCTAATGTATACACTGGACCTCGGTTTTCCGTCCCATCCAAATGACTAGACAACTGTATTTCACATACTCTTATAATTTCAACCTCAAAAAGACGTTTACATACACTACAAGTCTGACCATATTTTGGTCGCATTCAAATCATTTGACAGACTTTTCTTGTCTCAGCTATGTTGGTGTTACCCCTGACAAATGGGAACCAAATCTAAAAATACTAAGTATATAAATAGCTGAGTATTGGTACCTTTGTATAAGGATCTATAAGTGTTGTAACTTGTCCCTGTTCATTAAATCCTATCTTATATCCTTTATCACATGTTAATATATCTGTCTCACTAGGTACTTCTTCCATATCTATAATATAATATCACATGTTAATATATCTATCTCACTAGGTACTTCTTCCATATCTATAATATAATATTACATGTCAATATCTTCATGTGATTAACAAGCCAACAGTGAGGCTGATGTCCCCCGCCGAAATCCCAAAATAAATAGATGACACATTAATTAATCGCACATTTATTTTTTTCAAAAGTATCGAGCAATCAAATTATACACTAAAGTTTCAGCACTCTCTATCAGATAGAATCAAAGTTATCTTGTCCCAAAGCATCGACCAATGTTAATAATTGAACTCAGCCATGACATGACAGCAGAAAATACTCATTATCAAACTTAGTCAAGGTAATGATATAATAAAGCTATACACCAAGTGTCCTCACTCTCACTTAATTAGAACTAAAGTTATCGTGTCCCAAAGCATCAACCAATCAAATTGCTTATCCCTGCTTACTCTAAGCAAAAAATTCTCATCTTCACACTCCATCAAGGCATTCACCTAATAGCCACCTATGCCAAGTGTGAACATTCTAACTCAACTAGAATGAGAGTTATTGTGTTCTAAAGTCTCGACCAATCAAATTGCTTATCTCTGCTTAACCTAAGCACAAAATGCTCATCTTCGAACTCCATCAAGACATTAACCTAATAAACTCCTACACCAAGTTTGAACATTCTAGCTCAATTAGAAAAGGAGTTAATGTGTTCCAAAGTCTCGGCCAATCAAATTGCTTATCGCTCTGCTTACCCTAAGCAGAAAATGCTCATTATCGAGACTTAGTCAAGGTATTGATATAATAAAGCTATACACCAAGTGTCCTCACTCTCCCTTTTAATTAGAACTAAAGTTATCAGGTCCCAAAGCATCAACCAATCAAATTGCTTATCTCTGCTTACCCTAAGCGGAAAATGCTCATCTTCGAACTCCATCAAGGCATTGACCTAATCAACACATACACCAAGTTTGAACATTCTAGCTCAATTAGGAAGAGAGTTATCGTGCCCCAAAGTATCAACCAATCAAATTGCTTATCTCTGCTTACCCTAAGCGGAAAATGCTCATCTTCGAACTCCATCAAGGCATTGACCTAATAAACACATACACCAAGTTTGAACATTCTAGCTCAATTAAAAGTTATCGTGTCCCAAAGCATCAACCAATCAAATTGCTTATCTCTGCTTACCCTAAGCGGAAAATGCTCATCTTCGAACTCCATCAAGGCATTGACCTAATCAACACATACACCAAGTTTGAACATTCTAGCCCAATTAGGAAGAGAGTTATCGTGTCCCAAAGCATCAACCAATCAAATTGCTTATCTCTGCTTACCCTAAGCGGAAAATGCTCATCTTCGAACTCCATCAAGGCATTGACCTAATAAACACATACACCAAGTTTGAACATTCTAGCTCAATTAGGAAGAGAGTTATTGTGTCCCAAAAAGTGTGACGGACAGACAGACGGACGGACGGACGGACAGACAGACGGACGAACCCATTTTAATAGTCCCCTGCTTTCTTCGAAAGGCGGGGGACAAATATATGGGATATCGACTCTCAGCGTTGGGTCATCACTTTACCCGCAACCAATGTCCATGTTAACAATAAATTTGTGAAAAATATAACTTTCCAGTCAAAATTTTTTAGATTTAAATAGAAAAGCATCAAAACTTTTCATTTGGAATAAAAAGAACAATGTTGTTTAAAGACCAATTACCCAGATGTATTACCTGTTATGTCTGGTGGGGTTGACTGTATCTGCTGCCATTCTTTAGTAACCATAGAAACTAAAGGATGATCTCCCAGTGCCTCCATAGCAACATCTAGAAATGCTCGCTGACTTATCCAGGAATTTATAGCATTGGTGTATGTAGGTGCTTCAGATTAAAAACGAAAAATGGACAAATGAATATTCAGAAACAAATCCTAACAGAAAAATATATTGTGCTTGTAAGCTATTCTGGTTCAGAGTTTGTCGTCATTTTCACAAGTGCAAAAACATTTGACTATAATCATGAACTGAAATGGGAAAACATTTTGAAAACCCAGTATAAGGCCACACAAAAAAAAAAAAATTCTGGTTCTCAGACAATCCTTTTAAAAAAATTGATGTGTGAGGGTGTTTTTTGTTTGTATTTTGTCAAAATATAGCTCATTTTTAGGAAACATGTGAAATTATTATGAATTTAATATTTATTCAACTCTTATTAATAAAAACAAAAAAGGTAAGAATTTGAAATAATGTCCAAATAATTCTGTGAATTCATCTATCTACATTAAATAAACTCCTAGGAAAATGTTTTCAAATCCGTTAGTTTATATTTTGGCGACCATTCGGCTAAGATCTATGTGGTTTTGATGCCGTACTCATTGTTAAAGCACAGATTTTGCTGATGATGTAACTCCAAGTCTGCGCTGTCAATCTACCTGCGTAAAATAATTTTTGTCATCTCTCTAACAGTCATATTTCTCGGGGGAAAAATGGGGCATTTTGATCGAAAAAAAAAAGACAGATGAAAGCAAAATTGTCGCCATCCAGAATACAACAGAAGATTTAAAATAGTTACCATTATTTTTCAGGCGTTGATGAAACTGTATGTTGGTCCAGTTAACAGCATCATAAACATTATCAATACCCCATGTATGTTCCGCTAATTTCACTAAAAACCTACTGGCATTATAAAAATGCCTGTCTTTTAAATTACACATTCCTGAAAAATCAATTTATATTAATTTACCAATACAGCAAACATATATGGAATCTGGAGACATGGTGGCTCAGTGGGTAAGGTGCTGGCTCACAAATCAAGAGCTCTGTGATTTTCTAGCATGGTTTCCCCTTGTGAGCGGTGCAGGACGGAGGGCCTGGCAAGGAACAGCGTCTAGTCATTCAGATTGCACAGAAAAAACAAGGTCCTGTTCACACCTAGACATGCATGTATAAGAACCCTTGACAATTGGAATTAAATTGCTGTCTGCCCCATGGCAAAATTTCCCTCATAGCACACTGCCTGTCTTCATTCTTGACTTATTACGTTGTGACCTTTTCACTGAAAACTATCTTCATTAGCTCGTTGGTAAACAGCATATAATTTCATTTCTTCAATGAAAACTATGACCATCTAAGCACAAATTTCATGCATTTCTCATCTTTATAATTTTTAGAAAGTATTCGAATCAATCTATAACATATGTCACATTTTAAATGGAAGCACTTTTCATAACAGAGTGGATACCTTTCATTACAAAAGTAATACCTTTCATTACAAAAGTAATACCTTTCATATCAAAATGAATACCTTTCTTAACATAATGAATACATAATGAACATCTTTCTCAATATAATGAATAACTTTCTTAACATAATGAAAACCTTCCATAAAATGGATACCTTTTTCACAAAATTAATATCTTTCTTAACAAAATGTATACCTGTTTTAATACAGTAAGTTCTGGCTCTATAAAATGCTCTCATTTTAGCCACTTTTAAAGGATCTGAGGAAACTCCTTGAATCCAGACATCTCCAATCTCCTTGTCAACTACTGGAAGTTTATCTTTAATAGACCTAGCTAAAATAACAAAATCTTCGAAAGTTGACGCCTGAACTAATGCATTAGGAAACTGACCACGAGCAATGTCATAATAAAGTAAAATTTCCTGAAATCAAAACAAAAAAAGATTAAAGAATACTAAACAGAATTTACAAAAGTCTTAAAGGGCATACCAAACAATGGACATGAAGCCATGTATATGAGAGTGGATCAGATAGATACGTAATTGGAATATGATTGTCCGATTGTCCGAAAGCTGTTTGAAATGGAATGAAATGGGGTTTAGCGTTGTAATGTTCCGCTCCAACTGGGCACACGTCATACAGTGTGCCATGAGGGAAATGGTGCTAAGGCCTACTCTTGTATCGAATTCCAACTGCCAAGGGATCTTTTACTAGCATGCCAATGTGTCCCATCCAAACAACTAGACAGCTGTCTTTAACAGGCCCTCTGTTCTGCACAACTGATAAGGGGAAACCACGGCTGAAAATTGCGATGAACTTTCTCAGGCAACAAGGGAGCGAACCTGTGACCAAAACTGGTTGATTTATAATGTACTGTAGTGTAAAAATCCTAAAATCAAAGTTTAGTAATACTGTAAGGAGTTCAGGTGCTTTATTCAAAAAAACTTAAACTAAATATCTTAATAATCCTGGCCTTTCATTGGCCAAGAGCTAACATTTGTTCTTGAATTTAAACTCTCAACCAATGAAATGCCTGCACCTTTAAAATATTTCAGTTGAAGTTTTTTGTGAACTAGTTTCCACCATTTTAAAATGTCCAAGTCAACAAAACTTACTTCCAGAGAGTCTGGTGGTCCAGCATTATCCGATCTAAAAGCAAAACACATAGCTTGATCAAATCCATCAAATGATACACAATCTTTAGCAGATAAACCTCCTGGCATCTGTGGAAATATACCTGGTTGATTAGGATAGCCACCTGAAAAAAATTGTAAATACAATTAATCAAAGTTTAATCAAAATCAAAACAAAGATTTATTGTTTATTTCCTCAAGTTTACAATACCTTTACTCTAATAAAGACATATAATACAGACTTGTAATTATGATGCAATTGACATACATTCAGAATTATAATTACCTGGATGCCACATGGCTATAAGACTTGTATTCTTGTACTTCCAGTTAAATATTTTGGGTACAGCTGGAGGGGTTGTGGCACCATTAACACCAACGGTTATAGCCTGTATTCCATGTCTATCAAATATAGGTAACAACATCTGAGACATTCCTGAAATAAACAAGCCCTTACATTTAACACTTATATAATGATGATCTGCAAAACTGGCTAAATCTAGAGAATCTAGGCAATTCCTGGTAGCATAATCTAGACAATTCCTGGTAGCATAATCTAGACAATTACTGGTAGCTTAATTTAGAGAATCTTGACAATTACCAGTAGCTTAATCTAAAGAAAAAAAGACAATTATCAGTAGCTTGAGGATCTAGCCAAATCTTGAGAATTTAGACAAATCTCAAGAGCCTAGACAAATCTAGAGAATCTAGACAAACATTGAGAATCTAGACAAATCTAGAGAGCCTAGACAAATCTAGAGAGCCCAGACAAATCTTGAGAATCTGGACAAATCTTGAGAACCTAGACAAATCTTGAGAATGTAGACACATCTAGAGAACCTAGACAAATCTTGAGAATGTAGACACATCTAGCAATGGCTATGGAATAGAGGGATCCTGGAAGGTGGGTATCAAAATTATCACTGTTTAATAGATATTTTCAGATTGCAATTAGTAATGATTTTCTCATTAAGATACATTGTTTTGAGATAAAAAAAAAAAGTAGTTTGACATGGGCTCTAATTGGTGGTTTCCGTGTATAAAGATAGGTTGCCAGGCAACGAAACATACGTCCACAGCAGCTAAATCGTCCGGGCAGTCAACAAGAGTTGTCACATATTTTTACATTTTTCGGTAATGAAACATTTATAATACACTAAAATCTGATTAAGAGTAACAACTCATTAAGTAATTATCAGAAAATCATTAGAATTTGTTTGGTTTTTATAAAGTTCTGCCCCATGCTAATGTTTAGTATACGAAACATTTAATATCTTGGATTTAGCTGTTCAAGTTATAAAAATTCATTGAAAATCAATATACTTGTTCGTCTCAAGACCTTAAACTCTGTTTATCAATCTGAAATCAATCGGATAATAACTTTAGCCTCTAGATATTTTCAAGTGATCAAGGGCCATAACTCTGGCAGTAATTACCGGAAATTACTGAAAATCAATAGGCTTCTTTGTCTCATGACCTTAAACACTGTGTATAAATTTAACGTCAATTGGATATTAACTTTAGCCTCTAGAGCGTCCACAAGATTTTTTGAAGTGATCAAGGGCCATAACTCTGCCAGTAATTATCGGAAATTGCTGAAAATCAATAGGCTTCTTCAACACATGACCTTAAACACTGTGTATAAATTTAAAGTCAATCGGATATTAACTTTAGCCTCTAGAGCATCCACAAGCAATTGTGGCTGCCGGCTGGCCAGACGGGGGTGAGACAATATACAACCACATAAAAAGAATATCCAACATCAATGAAATGATATTTAAAGTCCTACTATTCTACACCAATCTGGCAAATGACAACAAGCATACATCAAACAGTGTGCTATGAGAGAATTATTCCCCGGACAGCAATGTTTCCGCCTACTCTTCATCAAATTATAACTGCTAATTCTTTTATCGGACTTCAGTTTTTCATACATCCAAATGACTAGAAACTGTTCCTAACCAGGTCCTCTGCATCACTGACAAGGGGAAATCATGCTGAAAAATCCAAAAGGACTTACTCGACCAACAACAAGATTGAACCAAGAACCTCCCTAGTTATTAAGCCAGGACCTTGCTCACTGCAGCTCTCGGGCTTCGATGGAAGATATCTATCAATATCATACCTGGCACATCTCTCTGGCTAAGAACTCTGGTTGGTCTTTTTATCTGAAAATATGCATCTAAATCTGCAGCTATTTGCAAACTAAAGTCAACCATTGGTACATCAAACATTTCATTCTGCATGTTCATTGGTCCAGCATGCCATGTGATGTCACCTAATTGTACAGCCTTTTTAAATGCTGCTACATCTGTGGCATTAGGGCACTAAAATAAAAAAGGCAATAATAGGTTTCTACAGTATTTCATTTATTATTCAATTTTAATTTGTTTATACTAAATCTTAAATGAACTATGGTACATGGGTATCACACACACAATTATGCTACATTTATATCTTTTGCCAGTGGGCTAAGAAGGAAATTTTTCCCTGACAGTGGTGCTATTGAATTATCTTCTCTCCTTTTTCCAACTGTCAAGGGATCTTTAAATGTCTGCCAATGGCATTTATGGGACATAGGTTTATTGTTCTATCCAACCAACAAAATGATCTTCCTTGCCATGTCGTCCGTTCTTGACCAACACCAGGATTGAACCCAGGATCTCCTAGTTAGTGACCTAGCGCCCCACTTTCCGAGCCACTAACTCCATTGAAACCAACACATGCAAGAATTTTACTTCAATCAGTCTTTGACGATCTCAGCTGACCAAATGCAGATGGGAACACATTTAAAAGTGCTAGGTTTTTCAAATCCTGTTTGTTTCTTCTAATGATGATTCTCTCATATTTATGTGATGAGGAATTTACGTTGTATCATATTAATGGAATGGCATTTAATATCTTGACAAGTTCATAAAAAAATTTGAAGTGATAAAATATAAATGATTGGTGGACATGGTTTAACTAGTATGAGGTCTGGAAATAATGCCAATCTGATGGACATATATCAATAAAAAAAACCAGAGAAAAGACAAATCAGTGCTGGACAAAATGGCAAGCACCAGAGGGATCATCTCTGATAAAGTCTGAATTTGTTTCTGATAATGATTGTAGCTGGTGCCTTATTTTAAGTCTTGGCCTTTAAGCTTCAGACTTCAAGTTGGCTTACCATAAGTTTAACACCTGACAGAACGAGATTTGATGGACAGTCCAAGTACATGCTAACTAGCCAGGCATGTGTGGTATAGATAAATCTCTCTGCATATCCCAGACCCCTCAGTTGGTTCGCTAAGCTGATAGCTCTAGGATAATATTCATGAAAATATTTATTGAGGATGTTGTTGATAAATGCAACTTGTGGTTTGATTCCACCAAATCCAACATCTGAAACACAAAGTTTAAACACTCAACACTAATATTATCAATATTCATATCTTTAAAACAAAATGTGAAAGTCACTTTTCCGTACATTCGCCAAAAATCAGTTTCTGGTCAAAAATGGAGACATTCTAGAACCTGAATCTTAGCCTCTCCCCCAATCAAATGGTCCCATATGCCTTAGCCTGAGATTATCGTCTGAACAATGATCTGCCACAAGAAACAAATTTATCTATGTCTAGCTCAAACCTCAGTTTCGTCAAATTGTGGTCATGAATGGCTGAGTAAGGTTGAATGGCTGAGACTGAATCTGGTCATGAATTGTTGATTCTGTCCACAAGAAGAGAAAAAGAGAATCAATATGTTTGAAAGATGTAGAATAAAACCATTCAACAGCCCTGCTACTATACTTACCAAGATGGTATGTAATCAATTCAACAGACCTGTTATTATACTTACCAAGATGGTTCATTCATACATATACCAAGATGATTCATAAAACAATTCAACATGCCTGTTATTATACTTATCAAGATGGTTCATAAAACAATTCAACAGCCCTGTTCTTATACTTACCAAAATGGTACATAAACAATTCAACAGCCCTGCTATTATACTTACCAAGATGGTTCATATAACAATTCAACGACCCTGTTATTATACTTACCAAAATGGTACGTAAACAATTCAACGGTCCTGTTATTATACTTACCAAGATGGTTCAAATAACAATTCAACGACCCTGTTATTATACTTAACAAGATGGTTCAAATAACAATTCAACAGACCTGTTATTATACTTACCAAGATGGTTCATAAATATAAGGTGAACTTGTTTGACATCTGATGGATTTACATCTTGCTTTGTTGGCAAAGGAAAAGTACAAATCTGAAAGATTAAAATTATTAATTGATTTTTTTATTTAAAGGAGATAGTCCATATCTGTTTATATTCTAAGACTAAAAGGCAAGGATGACAGTTACCTAGTTTTCTCCTTTTCATGCCACAGCTAAAGGTCCATAGGCGAGACCACATTTTTAAATAAATATATACCACAAGTTACTTCTGAAATGGGCTAAGATGTCTTTCGTAGCAGCGTGCATCCAAAATGAATGTTATCATAATAAAGATTACCTTTTCTATCTGTGGTGTCGTTCAACCCACTCACCCAATTCCCAAGGTTATTTGATTGGTCCCTAATGTAATTAATGCATAAGCTTACAACCTTTGAAAAGATCTGATACTAATCTATTAAATGTTTTGACAAGAATAGTGCAGCCTCAATTGTCATTGCTACAATAATAGACAACGTCTCGATTTTCCATTTTCGCTTTAACCGATTAAATGGCACATACATTCTATCTAATCCAATTATTATTGCATCCATCTCATGTCCTAGAGACTTGATTATGGGCTTGTCATGTAAAAAGATAATAATTTATATAACATTTGAAGCCAATAAAGACCTGCAATATGCAGATTTAGCTCTAACACAAGGCATCTTTAATAAATCATTTGTATATTGTTTTCAATTTCAGCTATATCAAGGATATCCAACACTTAGAATATTTCCTCATTTTATTATTTCCTTATTAGCTCATCACTAGACTGCCCTATGGTGTTATCTTATGATAATGTACTAATCTAATCATTTTATTTTCCCCAGTAAGACATTAAACCCCATTTCATTTCATTTTTTATTTTCAAACAGACTGAACAGAGAGGGTAGAAAACAGATCTTTGGATGAATTTTCCATTATATTTATGTTTTATATAGTGCTATGCTTGTGTATTAGATTTAGTATTTTGGTTATGAGAGTAGCATCTCCCATCTGATTCATGTAAATAAGTACCGGTAGGTAGGCGATTCTGATTATATACTCACTTTGTATAAATAAAGAATACTATTTTAAACATTATTCTGTGCTGTAGTGCTTTTTACACCAACCCCTAGATTGTGGTAAGTATGGTGTGCAACGTAACATGGTGGAGATGCCAAATTTTGAAATATAATTAACTATGTGCAGATTTCCAAGATTTGGACTTGGTGGATTCTTTAATGTACTCTGTGCTTGTAACCATTTTTCGGGCAAAAATGATACAGCCCCCTCCAAGGAAAATCCGCCCGTACCCCAGGTTGACTGTGACCCGTTCTGCAGATATAGTTCATTCGTGTATAAAGTAGTACCATTAATCATTATTTTTATCTGTGTGGGGTCACTGCCCACCCACTCCCCTTTACAATCAGTAATAGTTTGTTTTTAAATCTATGTGTTATTAGAATAATTAAAATTTATATTATAATTGTTATGAAATGCGTTTCCAATTTCATTAGATTTCTTTTCAGTGTTTCAACAAAGATTCAAGACAATTTTGAAATGAATGTTTCGATGGCAGATCTAGTCTGGAACCTAGAAATGGACAAAAAAGGGTCGCAATGCATATAATAATGTAATATGAATGTATATTAACTATTTACGTTCAATCATTTCTATTTTTAACTGTAATATCTAATCAGTTATTTTCAGTGAAATATGCGAAGAGTTCAAATGGAATAGCAGTCTTTGACGTCTGGTTATTCCAGTTTACATCAGTAGTATTTGTGTGCCATTTTTAAAATTTTCATTGCATCTTAAAAGAGAGAGAGAGAAATGGGGTTTAACGTCCACTAGACACAAACCAGGTCATTTCGGGACTAACGTATGGTTTTAATTTTATTTACATAGTTCGCTTGCGCGTAGGGGTCTTTAGCAGTGGGAGGAAACCGGAGGCCCCGGAGAAAACCCACGAGGTTGGACAGGCGACCCTACTCCTTGCCACTATTCAGTATCATCCACAGTCTTCAACATTGCAAACACGACTTACGGTAACATTTCATTCCTAGATTTTGAATAGTGCCTAACCATAGCCGAGAAACTGTGACCTCTGGTCTGTGCAAGTGTGGGTTTCATCATGGCAGTCCAATTCAAATTAATTTGTGTGTGTTTTTGAATTGAAAAATACTACCGTACTTCAAAATAGTGTTGATCCCTGCATTGGCCGAGAAAGTTCATCTGGATTTTTCTGACGTGGTTTCCCCTTGGCAGTGGTGCAGGACGGAAGGCCAGACAAGGACAGCTGTCTTGTCGTTCAGATGGGACGAAAAACAGAGGTCCTGTGTATACATTAGCATGCATGTAAAAGATCCCTTGGCAGTTGGATTTCAATATTATAAGAGTAGGCCATCGATGATGCTGCCCAGGCAAAATTTCACTCATAGATCATGGCGTATGCCTGTCTTCATTAGCCCAGTCGGAGCAGAACAGTAGGATGTTAAACCCCATTTCATTTCCTTTCAGTAACGGTGAGAGGCTAGTCTCTATCAAACACTGTTACTAAAGTAACTAGGTTAAGTCACTCAAGTTAGTAATACTTATACTAATGTTACTTTTTTTTAGCCATTTCTAATTCTACATTACCGTACTTGTAATATGAGAATCTCCATAAAATCAAAATAACAAGGACATTATCATGCCCATTATCATGTTAAACTAGAGAAATCGTTAACAAAACCATTACTTACAAAACAAACAAATACTAAACATTTCAGCACCATCGTGAAGCTGAAACTTCTTATGTTTACTTCTACCTATTCTTTCACTTTCATCTTTCACGTGACTCGTGACTTACATTGATACAGCTTCCTGTGTAGACTTGTATGTCATAATACCATACCCAACAGTTACATTAAGTCTGGATAACAGAATACATTCCCGGGCAAAGATGAAAATCTTTGATGATGGCATCCTAGATCGTATACACATGTATAGGCCTAATAGTAGTACAGTTCTATGATGGCATGATTACACCATGAAGATTAAATTATCTGAAATATGATATTTTACTACAATAAAAATTGAAAAAGAAATATATCAAAACCTAAATTTCAAATTTGGGAGCTAAGAAAAAATATATGTTTTTACTCGGATTTCCAACAGAAACAAATTTAATGACCAATTGTGCCGTCGTGGTTTATATTACATAACGATTATATCTAGATAAAATGAAAACTTAAAAAAAAATCATAAAAGTTTGTCTATTATCAACATTAATTCATTGAAAATCTCCAGATTTCCCCAGAAAATCTATGACTTGAGTTCAATTACAAGGTACCACCACCAAATTTAACGACTATAATAAACAGTTGTACGCTGATTTCTTGATCCGTGTTAGCTCGAGTTACAAAATTGATCATTATTTCGAAATGAAACCTACCTAGCTCGAAAACTGTTTCCGATGCTTCTACCCCACAGTTACATATTTTCTATTTCTCTTGAGCAAATTTGTGAATGTTTGAAATGAAGGGTTCCCCGCTTTACCCCATTCTGGCCCGGGTGTAGGCCTATGGAAACTGGAATTCTTAAAGATATCTTAAAAGGTTTCTGGGATGTGCCCAGGAATTTTAATTCCTTACGAAAAACAAAAGTCCATAGAGACACAAAAATTATTCAACTGAGAAGTTTCTAATTAAACATACATTATGCAAGAGCGAAATCTGCCTATTGCAAGTCTTTATTTAGGCTTCAGATGTTATAGAAATTATTAATTGGACCTTTATTTACAAGACAAACTCAAAATCAACTATGTAGACCCACGGCCTTGGATACAGTTTGGATTTAACCAGTCGTCCATTTAAAATTAAATCAATAAATGGCGGACCAAGCTAACGTTTACCGTTAGTCGCTGATGTCACTACTGGAAACTGGTGATGAAAGGCCTGCCAAGCGAGGCTACCGTAGCAGTTGAGCATGTTACTTGATAATTGAGGATGTGTGGGTGGAGTTATCTATTTTTGAATTATTATAGCAAGAACAGCCAACTTTTTATGAAACTCTTAATTAATGTATCTTTAATAAAAGGCGCCACTATACTTACAATACTTTGATATGATCATGCCATTATTATACGTTTCATAAAGATAGACTATATTGAACGATTTCTGAGATGTCCCTGAAAAATACTTGTTTATCAAAACCTAACTGAAATTTGCTTCCATGGAAACACGAGAATTACTAAACGGGAAAAAATTCTAATTAGCAAATGACACAACTAGCCCACTATAATTATTATTGGCTGGTGGGTGTCGTAAATTATATTGAAAAGTTTATGAGACATGCTCGGGTTTAAAAATTGCGATATACTAAAAATTAAGTAATATTTGTTTCCACGGGAACGCAAATATATTAAACCTGAGAATGTTCAAATGAGCAAAAGGCACAACTATAATAGGTTGATATGTGCACAAAATTTCATGCAGATATCTTAAACTTGGAGATATTTATAACGCGCGGTTCCTACGTATGCTCGGTAAACAAAACCGGGGCGACGGGATGGACGGACGGAACTTCATTCGGCGCAGAATAATAAACGAATAAATACAAACGTTACAAAGGCTGTCGGTCATGTTTAGTTTTCAAAGACCATTAAAAGACCGAAATATTTTGTTACCGAAAGCCAGATATTCTCCGCCAAAGAGATATTAATCTTTTTTTTCTTTAATTTTTTTTAATTAAAAAACAAAAACAAAACGTCTCTCTTGGCTATAAACAAAGAAAATACTTTTACACTGATGAATGGAGCAAATATGCATTGCATTTTTTTATTCGTGTGTGTCTGAAACGTAATAAATATGCATTATGACGTCAAATCATTGTAAACGTTATAACTTTTAGCTTTTAACACAAGAATCCAGGGATGAAGGTGCATTATTGAAATTAATCTTGAGCAAACCGTTAAAACTATCTTAATTGCCTTTTTGATACCAAGTTAAGTCTCGATAGTTTTCAGCAGGTGTTTTCTTCTTAAAATTTAAATATTTATATTTATAAAGTTATGTGATATTTTGTTTTTAATTGATTAATTTGTCTCGAATTGATGACCCTAAATATGTTTGACGCTGTAGTATTGCCGGTTGGAGCTAACATGTCATAAAACTCCATTTCATCCATTTCAGCAGATGGATCTGGACATTTAAATATATCTACCGATAAATCTAAAGAATTTTTGTTTTATTTTTTGTATTTTTTTAAATTTCAGACTCCCTTTGAAATCATTCATTTTTCTTTCAGGCGGAAGGGGTAGTAATGGGGGAGGCATTACCACCGGATCCGACAATGGATACACCGTTGACAGTCAAAACAAAATACATAGCCCAGCTGTTAAAAATGGGCTATTCATTCGAGGAAGATGTGGAAATTGAAGGTCTCTTTATTGACTTAGAAGACAATAAAGTTGTATTACTGGGTCTTACGAACAGACATCTTGTAATTGGCAACATCAGTAGCGAATCTCTTCCAATGATATGTGATTTGTCTTCGTTGTTACCTTTAAAATGGTTGACCATAACGGTGGAAGACGCCGGGCAGCGGATTCTTAAGGTTGTGTTTTGCACGGCTAAATGTTTGAAATTCAGACTTTGCGATATTGATCCAGATCAAGATTTAGTGTGGATGGAATTTGTTTCTCTTATTCGTAAACTGGATCTGGATCACGTTGTGGTGTGGAAACCTACGGCAACGAATGCAAGTGGAGATTGTATGGATTCAGAGACACTGAACGGCACTAATTCTCAAGAATTCATTTCCATATTAGCAAATCATTTCGGATCGTCAGTGGATAATCTAAATGATTTAGATGGTTGCTATCCATTCAGCAATGAAGAGTTCCCAAAACAATTTAAACGTCTGTCTGTTCAGGAGAAGCAAGCAGATACAAAAGTTAAAGAACAAAACCACAATTCTGAAAGTATATTTAAAAGTATCGAAAGAAAGGAATCCAGTCATTCCTTTACGTTGAACGAATTGTTCACCTGCGTCCAAAATTACCATTGTGGAAAGGAATATCCATATCAAACGGATGAACTGCAAGGAACGGAAGCATCGAAAAAATCTGATTATGAATGGTCGACTTCTTCTATTAGCTCAGATGAAGATGTTCGACACACAAGAAAACCTTCACTATACCAGGATGCGCCATACCAGATGGGCAATGTAAAAAAAAGTAAACTGAAAACTCTAAAGAAATTTTTCACGCCACGATGTCTAAAAATAAAACTGTGATGCTTGCAAAATATATTTTACATATTAACCCGATTATTTTTAATCAATTGTTTTTAATATTTTTTTATTACCAAGATAGGTTGCCAGGCAAAAGAAAAAAAACCCACACGCCCACAGTAGCTTAATTGTTCGCACAGTCGACAAGGGTTGTTGCATATCTATTCTTTTGTATATAATGGGTGGATTTACAAGACACTGGTGGATGGACGGGCGGAGACGACGGTACGGTGGCCCATATACGACTTTTAGATATTTTGTAGTTTTGGGTTGGTTTTTTTTAGTTTTAGGTTTGTTTTTTTAGTTCTCACCTCGGTGATAACTTTTCACCTCGGTGGAAACGTTTTCACCTCGGTGATAACGTTTTCACCTCGGTGATAACGTTTTCACCAAGTCATAACTTTTCACTAAGGTGAAACGCGTGAAAAAATTGTGGCACACCTGGCTAAATATATATGAAAAATATTTGAATTTTGCAAAATAAAAACATGGTAAGTGATCAGGCGGCATACAACTGTAGACAGACACTAGTCATAGACACATAGAAAGATTCAAACTAAATAAAGAAAAAAACAGCTATATGAACACCAGTGAATACTCAATTGGGATCACGTAGTTTTTCGCATTGTCTTGGTGTGGCGTTCAAAATTTCGCGGCACACTAAGGAAGATCTCGCGGAACACCTGTGTACAACGGCATACTGGTTGAGAATCACTGGACAGAGCATCCACAAGGAACAGTAATTATTGGAAATCGCTGAAAATCAGTAAGCTTCGCCACATGAGCATAAAGACTTTGGAAAAATTTCAAGTCAATCGTATGATCACTTTGTATAAATTTCATTCAATCAGGTGATAATTTTAGCCTCTAAAATGTGGACTATGGACAGACAGACGGGGTGATGACATTTCCGTTTGATATACAATAATAAATAGAATACAATTCCGGTATCAAAAACCATCCCCGAAGAAGTTAGTACATGTATTTTTACTGACGAAACGTCATTGGATAAAACAATGATTTTTATACGTCCACATTCATAATTGCCGTCGCCCCTGCCTGGGTGTGAGTGTATGTGTGTGTCTGTGGGTGCATGCCCGACCCCCAGAAGAAGAGCCACACCCATTTCTTCTATTTGTTTGTCGTCTACAAGCCGCATTTCTTAACGGATTATCTTGAAACTTTGAATGCCTATGCCATATACCCTAAGGATCATCCCTACTGTTTGTGGTGTATGTTCAACATCCAGGGTCAGAGCCACACCCATATTATCTTTGTGTGTCTGTGTATCGCCTACAGACCGCAATTCTTAATGGATCGTCTTGAAAACTTTTCATACTTTTTCCTTATACCGCAAGGATGACCTCAATTATTTTTGGTGCATGCCCGACTCCATGGGACAGAGCCACGCCCATTTTTCGTATCTGTGTGTCGCCTACAGGCTGCAATTCTTGACAGATCATTTTCCAACTTTGCATACCTCTTCTTTATACCCTAAAGATGATCCTTATTATTTTTGGTGAATGCCCGATCCCCAGGGGTAGAGCCACACCCTTTTTTCTTTGTGTGTTGCCTACAGGCCACAATTCTTAATGGATTGTCTTGGAACTTGGCATAATGTATTCCTTATAGCCTAAGGATGGCAGCTATTGATTTTGGTGCATGTACTGACCCCCAGGGGCTGAACCACGCCCATTGTTTGTGTTTATCATATACAGGCAAAAATTCTGAATGAATCATCTTGGAACTTGACATACATATTCCTTATAGCCTAAGGATGGCAACTATTGCTTTTGGTGCATGCCCCGACACCAAGGGCAAAGCCACGCTTATTATCTTGAAACTTTGTAAACTTATTCCTTATACCCTATGATCGCCCTGCTGCGGTGGTGTCACACTAACTTTTTATTAATATTTTGTCTGTAAAAAATCTACAGGTTACAATTATTAATATATTTTTATCAAATTAGCATTATCCACCATAGGTTGTAACTATTTATATTGTTCCATATCCCACCCTCAGGGGCAGAGCCACACCCAATTTTTGTGTTTATCGTCTGCAGGCTGCAATTCTGAATGGATCATCCTGGAACTTTGCTATTTATTTCTTATACCGTAAAGACAGCAATTATTTATATTGGAGCATGACCCGACCCCCCAGGAATGTGGACGTATATTGCAGCAGTACCGATGCTCTTGTTTGATATTGTATTCTATTTATTATTGTATATCAACTTATTTTAATATCAAATGCATCATTTTGACTTAGTAAAAATTGATTCAGTCAAATGTCTGTAATTAGTTAGTATTTCAATGTGGTAATATAATTTAAAAGATAAAGACACAGCAAAGACTTGTAATTGTATATCCTTTATATTTTCTCTGAGGATAAATCCATACATCAAAGATATATACAAACATACAAACAGTAAACACTGGAAGTCTTTTATGGCAGTAAACAGTCCTACAAAAATAAATCACAGAATACAATATACAAATTCATATCTTTACAATGTATACAGACAGATATCACAATGTAGTCATGACAATAAGAATTAAATTGAATTTAATATTTATCCATAATATGTTATCTCATTCAACACCATTTCATTCATATAATAGAATTAACATCACAGACTTGTTGTCATAATGTGAATATATAAATGCATTACAAAGAAATAAATCAAATTTATTCATAGGTCTTAATTTAGCATGTGACAATATGTACAGTATAGGAATAAATATTCTTAATAAGATTAAGATGTACTACTAGTACTAAAAAGATTAATTTATAAAGTATTCTCTGCTTCTACATCTTAATTTTTATATCATGTTATTTTTTTATTCTATAGTCAAAATTTTTAATGGACAAAATTAAATATTTTTAGGTTAAAAAATGATGAAAATATGGAAAACATGTGGTTGACAGGCAACAAATATATACCCCCCCCCCCTCCCAATAGGATTTTGAAGTTTTTAAAGTGTGCAATAACAACACATTAAACCGTTATGCAAGTTTGAATTTTGTAATAGTGTTCTTCAATCGGACTAACTGAACAATCCATGGACATTAACCTAAACAAGTATAAGTGTGGTATGTCTCTGAACCAGGAAATCAATTTAAACGCTCAAGCATTGAGAAGTGTCTTTTCTTTATAGCATGAAGATAAAAAATACAGCTTGTCTCTCCTGCATACGATGACAATAACAAACACGGATCAAACATCATAACTTATTTTTCTTTCGCAATTGTCTTTCCCTCACAGAAAGATTATATTCACATTCTGGTGTATCGTAAGCTAGAATTTTACTCACACCATCTTTTCTATTTGGAGGAGTTTTAAATATCTGAAAAGTTTGTAGATATTTATCTTGAAGTCTCGCTGATCTCCGAGTCGTAGGAGTGCATGTGTTGTCACATTGTTCCCCTTCTTTTGTATTGCAAGTCCGCACACAGGTTAAAGGTGAAACATTTAATGTATGGTTCAAAGGTCGTTGATTTAAACTTTGCACATTTTGAGTTAAAGATTCATTGAAACTAATATTAAAACTTTTTCGTGATTTCTTTAAATGTTTTAAACTCCATGAATTTGGTTGCTTTGTTGGTGTATCAAGACTGAAATTAGGCACAGCAGTGGATTTTCGCTTTACCTTAACAGGACTTGGCGAGTTAAACGATATGTCATCTACACTGTCGACGCTTCTATCCCCAATAAATTTCAAACAGTTATATTTGTTTCTGTAGTTAGGATTTATTGCTGAGGTATTCTCTTTGTTTGAGTGATGACGTGAGCGAGTGAGGATGGTACTGTGGTATTTTCTCACATGTCTGCTTCCTCTTATGCTTCTTTGCAGATCTCGGAATTGGGGTGATACCTGGAAAAAATAAATATAAATATGGTGAAAAAATTACAAGTGGACATGAAATGATTTATCAAAAGACAAACAACCTGAATTGAAATGACTGTATGAATATTTGCGTCATCAGAATGAGTTCCGCTTTTTATACATTTAACTTAGATTAAACTAAAAAAATTATTCGACAAATTGTAACTTTGGAAAAATATTAGGGCTGTCAAAAGTGAAAACTATGCACTTTTTGATAATTTGAATATTTGTAATGTAAATAGTGTTTAGTACCAAAACTCCATGATCAAACATTAGAAAATGGAATCTCTAAATAAAAAGACTAATTTAATATATTATACCCATGTTTGATCACCATCAACAGGAACTTTTTTAGCAGTTATTGGGTTATCAACACATAACACTGGTGTAGGAATATGTCGTTGATTATTAACAGGACTTTCAGTAAAAACTAAAGAATGTTTTCTACTTTTTCGTCTCTTTCTCCTTCCTGGCATGACTATAAATCAGAAAATAACGAAATTTAAATAAGAATTTAAGCTAGATTAACTCGCAAGGCCCACTAGTCCCTACGGCTACAGTTCTTACATTATGGAAAATAATTCATTACCCGTATAGGCCTATTTCTGGAGCTGTTATAATTTTGAAAATTTAGTACCCTTCCTTCTCAGTCAGAAATGACTGATTCGGTTAATGTTGAAGAAGATGGTGTCATTGCCTCTTGCGCTGAAAACCAGCACATGAATAGAACTTTGAAGGTTTGTTGGATATTTGTTTTCATTCTATTATTATTAATAATTATTTTAAATAAGCTGCGGTATTGTAGGCCTATGCAAAATTGAATCGTCTTACTACAATAAATAGATTATTCTAATTCATTTTAATAATTATGAGTACTTTTAAGATTGTAAACTTATATTAAATTAAGGTAAAGAATTCCGGTGCGTAAAGAATTAAGAAAGCTTACGCTTGCTTCTGTCAAGTTACAAGGACTAGGAGAAATCAACATTTACAACGTGAACGTAAACAAATAAATAAACTTTATTAATTTTAGGTCTACATCAAATATAGCTTTGGTTACATTGATTATTTGCTTAGTAGATCGATCAAATCTACCTGTGATCCACGCATTTGTTAAACGTCACGAACGAACATTCCGCTAAACGACAGACAAGTATGGACATATCAAATTTTAATATTTGTATAGATCCGCCATATTTTCCTCGTTTCTTTTCTGTCTCAAGATGAAACGAAGCCACTAATTTGACGCTAAAAATAGTACAACGAATCGTTGACCTTTTAACAAAGATGTCACGGTAATAAAGTCTCGTGTCCTCGCGCGGTATATATTTAGAGCTTTTCCATTGGCTTATTTTTCCAGTGTCTCAAAATTTAAAAATGGTCGCCAATCTTGTACAGACATGCAGAATATAAGAATATTTTTTCTGTCACTATCAAGAAAAGTACAGACGAACAATTTAAATCATATCCCAACAATCAAATCAATTTAGTTTTACAAATGCTGTTATTTTTGGTAAGTAAGAGCCATTTTAATGGCTAGTTTTTAATGAAGAAAAACAGCCCTGTTTGAAGTTGATACGCATTCTTCTAATTTCTATCTACCGACCTCGCTTATTAAATAGGCCTAATGAATTATTCCAATATAATGCCAGCCACCCACTCGCTAACACACTCAAATCCTTAAAAATGAAACCATGGTTGAGCTGAACTGTGGAGATCTGAGCATGTTAAATCAAGTTGAGATCTTTGTGACTGAGAGGGTGTGTGTGTGTGGGGGGGGGGGGAGGTGTGAAAAACTGCATGTTCGTCATTGATGTTGCCCCCTCCCCCACCACCACAAAAAAAAACACAAATTTTTTTGCAATTTAAATCAGCATTGGTGTTGTGATCTTACCTGGAAAAGATGGGCTTCTGATATCCAATATAAGAGACAAAATAAACATTTTACAATTGGTACACGAATCGTGTACCATAATGCGTTTCAGCGCCATTTGTAACAAGGTGCTCAAAGAATGAGGTTAGACATATTCCACAAGTCATGTCAAACGGTGATATCATATACTTATTTGGAGAGCATGCGCAATAAATAATATCGGTGTTGACTGGAATAACCAGACGCTAGAAACTGACTTGCGGTTGAGACTTCTGGCGTATTTCGCCGAACATAACTGATGACAATTCACAGTAAAACGGACACGATTGAATGTAAAACAGTTTATATAAATTCATATTACATTATTATGTGTGTTGCGACTCATTTGTGCCAATTTCTAGGTCCAAAATATTAGCGATTTAGCTCCTTTAACATGGTCACATCTCCTCATCTATCCATGCCCCACCCCACCAAGACAAGTCTAGGCCTATATATAATAGATGTATTTAAATTAAGAAACCTTGCATGACCAGATCTTTTTATTACAATAGTTTAAGATTAGAGGGGGGGGGGGCATCCAATTTTTTAAAATCCTCCTACGTCTGTCTACTTGACTTTCCCGAATAAGTTTACCGGGTAATTGTTCTTAACTGCAGTGCATGTGTGTGTGTAGAATAGACCTACAGATTCCAATCATAACTTATGGATACTTTTTAAAAGAACTTTTTTAAATTAAATTTTAATTTTCAAAATCAACAAAAAAACTTGACTTTCACGAATAAGGTTAATTGTTCTTAACTGCATGTGGGTAGAATAGGCCTACAGGTTCCAGTCATGGATACTTTCTAAAAGAAGCTTTTTATTTTTTAAATTAAATTTTAATTTTCAAAATCAACAAAAAAAACTTCACAAAATTTTAAATAACTGAGACTTGAGTGTCTAATCATAGCTAGGGTTTTGGTAGATGGTACATGTGTAGGCTACCATGTTTGACTAAAAAGTATTCACCAACAATCACCTTTCTCCAGTCTCTTTTCTTATAATCTCTACCTAGAGCAGGGATGTATGGAAATAGCAATTTTAATTGTACTTGTAGACCTACCTGACAAAATGAACTTTGTGCGATTTGTGCCACGTACCGAAATTATTAAAATCAATAAAACCACAGTGCCACCACAAAATAACCGGTCAGCAGAGCAGTTGTGTCTGATATTGTCTGCGACAAGTGTGTTATTTCCAGGCTAATTACACCTACACATAGGATGATGCACAAAAAAGAAATTTATAAATATTGTTTATTAAATTTAATCCTTTGTTTCCCTAATTTTTAAATTACCATATAATTTTCACATTGCAGGATTCTTTCGTAACAAAAGATTTGTCCACAGACATTTGACATCATGTGTGATGGATCAGGTGAACTCCAGTACAGTCCACCAATTGCACCCACAAGCCAGACCATTCATGGAACAGTCCAAAAAATTATACAAGAGGGCAATAAAAAGACTTACGTAATTGTCATCAAACCAAACAATGAAAGTAATAATAAACCCCAGAAGAAACCAGCATCAAGGCCTCAATTTACAAAATTAAATCCGGCCAGCTCTGATATTGTTAAACAGAACTTGAGTAATATAACAGATGATGACTATGACAGTAAAAATTCAGCAGCAAATCTATTTCTGAATGATGACGATGATGGAACAGCTTGGCAAGATGATGGAGAATTTGCTAACTTTTGTCGAAAAAAGCCGAACGATGACCTTGACTCTAACCGCAGAATTGATAGCACTGCATCCATTGCTGACGTACATATATCAAATGACAGTGGTTTTATTGCCACTCCTCCAAACTTACAGTTCATGTCAAACAAGTCAACAGCTCGACAAATTATGATGGACTCCCCGGAATTCCAAACCACTCCAGAACAGCAAAGGATTTGTTCAGTAATTGGCAAACTTGATGATGGATTTAAACCATCACCCCTGGCATCATCAACACCTATAAATTCTGCTCTACCATCAGAACGTTTTGCGTCTCCAGATTCTGGGATTTATTCTGCATCCTCATCCATGCTGTCTCCTACTATTTCTACCCCAGATGGTATTCGACCAACTGAAATTCTTATTACCAAATTAATAGAAAGACCAGCATTAAATAATCATTCTGATGATATCGGTTCTAGTCAAGAAGAAGGTAAGTTTGATCAATACTTAATATGTAAGCTAACTCGCTTTTCATTTTAAGAGAGTTGCATCGTTATAGATAAAAGCTGTATTGTTGTTGCCTTGACCATTACATGTCTGAGTTGAAGTGAGTTGTCATTTTCCTTGAAGACTCACTGCAGACGAAGGCCAAAAAAAATTTTCCTTAATTATTTTTATACTTTCAGGAGGTGAAGATAAATTAAATACATCTTTAGCTAATATACAATGGTTGGGTGGATTTGTTCTAGAGAAAGAAGAAAAGAAAGAACATAGACCTCATGTTGTCAACAGAATGAGTGTAGAGGATAAATGTAGAAGAAAACCATTTGAATTAGATGAAATAGATAGGGTATGCCTGTTCTACTGTATTTCGTTTCTTCTTTATGGTTCAGATTTTCTACACTACAAATGACTACATTATGTACTTCATATCTAAGGTGTATATTTACTGTAAAAATGTGACACAATGGTAAAACTTGAGTCTGGTCAAATAAAAAATATGGAAAATAAAAAGAAAACAAATTTAAAGTAGCTAAGTCTCTAACTCAATATCATCCAAAATCTTCAACATTGAAAACACGATTTATTTGTCAAATTAAATCAACATTGATGTTGTGATCTTACCGGAAAAAGATGGGCTTTTGATATCCAATATGTAAGACAAAATAAACATTTTACCATTGGTACACGAATCGTGTACCATAATGCGCTTCAGCCCCAGTTGTAACAAGAGACTCGAGGGACGAGGCTAGACATATTGCACCAAATCAAACAGCGTCTGTAGACTGGAATAACCAGACGCTAAAAATTTGCACTCGATTGAGACTGCTGGCTTATTTCGCCGAACATAACTGATTTGAAATTGGAGTAAAAACGGAAACCATTGAATGTAAATCAGTTTATATACATTCATATTACAGTATTATATGCGTTGCAACCCACTTTTGTCAATTTATAGGTCCCAAATGTTAGCGATATAGCTCCTTTAAGCTAAATTGAATAACACAATTTTAATCAGATTGACAGCAAGTATCATTTCAACTAATAAGACAGCGACAGAATCCTTACAGTATTTATGTGGCATATTATGGTAAATAGTTTAGATGAAGTAAAGCAGAAGTATGTCTGAAAAACAGACTGCTGGAAAGATCACTATGTTTTGCCGTCCAGTGATTTTGTTTATTGACATAAAAACCTACATTATCTACAAGTGAAGTTGGGGAAAATAAATTGTATTTGTTGCTGTCTTATGTCCTTAAAATAATTAGAATACAGTGCACTCTGTCACATCCGACCTCTGATCACTCCGGCACTCTTACATCCGACACCATTTTCATGTCCGATTTATTTCTTTATTACTTAGCCAAAAAATCTCTGGGTAATTCGACCTCTGTACGTTCCGGATTACGACATCAATCAGCCGTCCCGTCATACGATTTCCATTGAATCGACACCGTATAATCCGGCCTTCAATCGGTGGGTGTGAAGCAAACACTTACCAATCAATTATCCGTTAGATTAAAACTGGATGGGTGTGAAGCCACAAAAGATTAACAAGCAATCACCAATCAATTATCTGTGAGATTAAAACTCGCTACCGTGGGTCTTTGTTGATTACTTTGATAATTTTAATCTCTTGTACGACAGTTGTGACAAATACTCAAGAATTTACCAATCAATTATCCGTGAGATTAAAACTGGATGGGTGTGAAGCCACAAAAGATTAACAAGCAATCACCAATCAATTATCTGTGAGATTAAAACTCGCTACCGTGGGTCTTTGTTGATTACTTTGATAATTTTAATCTCTTGTACGACAGTTGTGACAAATACTCAAGAATATCCACGAATTTTCCCCCGAATAACATTCTGATGATTCGAAGTTCTATTTTCGAAGCTACATTATAATAATACTTCCGGTTTTCGAAGTTACAATTTTTCCGGTTTTGAGAAAACTGGGTATTCCGCCACTCTGCGTAATCCGACATATTGTAACAACCTCTACGATGTCGGATGTGACAGAGTGCACTGTACTTTGATTTGTGGCCAATTAGATTTTATATATTTATTTGCTTTGTGGGATGACAAACTGTCTTTATTGAAAATTTTAAGTCTATAGAACATGAACCTAGTGTTAAGATATGATTGAATTTGTGTTTCAATGTTGGCAGTCACCACAGCAAGCCAACATTATGAAACTAGAAATAGTAAACAATCAGACTTTGAAAAATTTAATTGTATTTAGCTTTCCCCTTTTTTTAATCAAAATAAGACATCAGATTCAACTCAATTCAATACTTTAATTTTACCTGAATCAAAAAGGTTTAACTCCTGTAATTAATTGAAAAATTAATTTCTGATAGTATTGTTTTATATATTTCAGCTTTGTCGAGATTGTGGTCATGAACAAAGACCTCCATATTCTTACATGGTATTAATACAGCTGGCTTTAAGTAGTGCATCAGATCACAAGATGACCCTAAAGGAAATTTGTAAATGGATTGAAGACAAATTTGAATACTTTAAATCAATTGCGAAACCGGGATGGAAAGTAAGTATAGAAGTTGATTTTCTCAAACACAGGATTTTTTTGTCTTTTTCTATGTGCTGTATGATGGAGTAGAATTGTGCCTGGACAGCAGGATTTCTTCCTTGCACTATCTATGTGGGAACTGAACAGGATAGTCAAAATTCAATGAATTTATTTCTGAACTGAGCAGAATAGTCAAAATTCTATGAATTTATTTCTGAATTTATTTTGTAATGGAAAATGGTTTAACGTCTCCTCAACACTATACATGGTTTATTATGAGTAATATGAGACTAACATACGGTTATTTGTTTTTCTATTGTCATGTGAATGTAATGATAAGGAGTTAAATTTTATCTTGGCAGCGGTGTTACCAACTGTCAAGTGTCCTTTTAGCTGGATGCCAATGTGTACATGGGTGGTCTTCAGTTTTTAGTGCCTTTCCTTGTTAGCCTATCAACGGGATTCAAGATTGAGACATTCTATTCAAGTGTCTAAGAACCCTGAACACGGTTCCCCCTCCTGTTTAAAATCAGTTTGCAACATTATAATGGCATTATTCTCTTTATTTTTTCAGAATTCAATCAGACATAATTTATCTTTCTATCACTGTTTTGTTCGTGATTTGTCCAACCAGAAAAAACATGGTTCCAAATGGATGCTCCAGTTTGATCCAGTTGAATCACATCACAGAGATCCTCTTTCAGGTTGTGTTTCTCCCTCAATTATTTATATCTAAATACACTCATGCTCATGTTGCTCATTAACAATAGTCCAAGAGTAGGGTGACCCATGTACTCTACAGAAATACAGTCCACCGCTGATAGTTCGAGACTACCACTGAAGCGTGCACATTCGCCGTGCTGAGACCAACTTTCTGACAGTATGATACTATAAATAGCCATGGCATGTGCAATTCTCTACAAATCTATCAACTATTACAGCCGTAAAAAATTTATTGTTGACGATTTTGAATAGTAGTAAAATTAAGCTTCTTGGTTATTACAGCAGATTTAGAAATTACGTTCGTTTCTTTTTTTAAATCGCTTTATCATTAACTGTACCGTTAAGAGCGGCATCTTTTGGTTTAGTACAAATAATATCTCTGAATCACTCGGGTTAGACAGGAACATGATACTAGCAGTAGTTTCATTTTACTTTTACAAGCTTCTTAAAACGATTGTTGAGCTACCTAACGTGCTTACTTCTAAATTCAATTTCTTGTTCTAGCTTTCTGTTATGTTTCGTAACGTAGAATGGTCGATAGACTGGTTAAGCGAGACTAATTTCAAAACAAGGGCACGTAACCAAGAGGTCAAGGGGGGTTGGGTGGCCGAAAGGTTAGCACAAGTGCATTGTATCATCCTACCTGTCATTGAGTTAACTGACGTGGTTTTGATTCCCCAGTTGTACGTTACAAGGAGTAGGGTCGCCTGTCCAACCTCATGGGTTTTCTCCAGGTCCTCCAATTTCCTCCCACTGCTAAAGATCCCTACGCACAAGCGAATTATTGAAATGAAATTGAACCATATGTTAGTCCAGATGACCTGGTTTGTGTTGAGTGGAGTTAAACTCTATTTCTCTCTCTCCAAGAGGTCAAGTATTCTAATTTAAAGTTAACACAAAATGACATAATCATAGTTCCCCAATCCAATTCAGATATCCTGAATAAAAATATGGTATAACTTTTTTCTTGAAAACTGTTAGTCTTGACCCTTGCTTGAGACATTTGGAAAATAAAGGAAATCCGGTTTTGCATGACAATTCTGCTTTTGATTTTATATAAATGAATCTTTGAAAAACTCAAACTGCTTTTGTTTTCAGAACGAGTTGTTACATCACAGGCATCAAATACTAGAACACTACCAACCAGCATGCCCCAAACAGTTATTCCTTTTGTACCAGTATTCAGTTCTATACCTCAGAATAACCTCATGCCCATACCTCAGAATAACATCATGTTTCCATCTTTATCACAATATCCCGTCCACCATCAACAGCAGAAAACTGCTCCTCAGAAAAATCATACAGTACTTCAGAATATGGGCACTGGTGGTCTTCACAACAAAAAGAGAAAAAATTCAGGTTTGTTTTTTTGATTATGTTGAAGTATGAACAGGAAATTATGCTGTAATTGTAATATAGACAGCATTACAAAGAAAAATCTGTTGTTGTATGTTATCTGTCGTTGAACCATCGTCCACAATTCTTTGTGGATGCTTTGAAGGTTAAAATTGTGTAAGATGTTGGCTAGCCAACCTGGAGGTCAGGTGTTTGATCCCAGTGTTGACCTAAAAAAGTTCATCTGGATTTTCCCTAGTCAGTGGTGCAGGAATGAGGGCCTGGCCAGGGACAATGTACAGTCGTTAGGATGGAACAAAAAAACTAGGTCCTGTGTACACATTGGCATGCAAGTAAAGATCCCTTGGCAGTTGGAAGAGTAGTCCGGGCAAAATTTCTCTCATGGCACATCTTCATTATCCTAGTTGAAGCAGAACAGCAGAACATTAAACTTTTAAAACCCTATTACATTTCTTCTGATTGATTATGATTTATACTCAGTATTTCTATTTGTGAGACATAGAATCGTAGAAACATTAGACTTTGAGGCATGCGGAAGTTCTGTATCCAATTATGAACTTTAATTTCCAAAAAAGGTAGCGCCTTAGTATTATTTGTCAGGAAATTCAGGATCAAATGTTTAATCATGTTTGGAATCAAGACTGGGTTTTGAAATTTGACCAAAAATAATAGAAACGGGGTTCTATCCGACTTCATAATTATGTGGAAAATACTTGACCAAAATGTTGGGGATTAGTCAACGATTAAGTATCTCCATTAATTGGTGAATAGAATTTTTGTTTAACACAGTGATCATGATTATAAAAAACAAACTTTCTATTATTTAAACCACAAATAAACAAAATTATAGAGTTAAAAAGAGAGGTGGGTGGAACGTTATTGAAATACAAAGAATTAGATAAGAATTTTTTTTTACCATCACCGCTCATTCTAAGCATCAGATTCATCAGTTTGAAGTTGCCAAATAAAGGTTACTGATTTTATAGCTATTGGATAAAGACTACAGCGACTTAGAACTGAAATAAAGAGATAATTAGTATACTGGATTGTTGGTCAGTGCAGGGCCGACTTGAAATTTTGAACACCAGCTACTAGATTTGGGAAGAGAATGTGCTAAATACATAAAGTAAGCTACGTCATAATGGAAATATATTTGTAATAAATCTTTTCTCTTTTGCAGGTCCATTGCCAATATTACCTCGTCCTGCATCTCTTCAAACCTACGCATTAGTTCCGTTACAGAATGTACAACAACAGCATGGAAACAATCTACCCACAATCCCATCTTCAAACCGTCCAATTCTAGTGAATATTCCTAATAATCCATTTACTCAAAACATTCCGCTTCACTCAAATGTCCAGCCTGTGCAGAATCAACACACAGCCAACATATTACAACAATCCAAAAAGTCAAATACAATTTCTTCAAACGAGCCTGTGAGTTTAGTTCGTCAAGCATGGATAGATGCTCAGTGCTGCATGTCAGAAGACGACCGAGAAGAGCCAAATATGGCTGTGCCTTTCCAAGAAAGACCTGCCTTTTCTAATACAGAAAACAAAAATAATGAAGTCATTGTTCAACATGCTAAAAAACAGAAGGTGAAAGCTGGTCTTCCCGTTCCTACGATATATACTAATAACAATCTACGCAAAACTAAGAGAACAAAAAGCCGTATTAAGAGTAATTCTAATCATACATCTAGTGAGAGAAACTTATTAGACAGTTCCGATTCGGAATGCGATAGTGAAGATGATAAAATAAGTGATCTTCCGACACCTATACGACAATTATTTAGTGACACTCCCAGTATGAAAAATAATATATCTACGTCGACGCCTGTAAGACATGCAGTGACATCGATTGAACAGTTGCCGTCGCCCATTAGAGGTTTTACACCAGTTCGTTGTGGTAATATATTTGATGGTAGTTTCCTAGATATGATTCAGGAAGAAGTTTTTGCATCTTTAGCCGGCTCACCAAACGCAGTCGCCAACAATCTGGTGAATCAAGATTCACCAAATGTTTCTTTGTCCGATTTCGGTTTATTTCGCACTCCACCAGACAAAAAATCGGGCAGATCTCCACAAGAGTCAAATCATTCTCATGGACAGAGTTTGTGTCGATTTTTAGCAGATTTTCCAATAGATTCAAATATCATAGCAGAGGCTGGAGGTATTTCAGAGGACTTGTCCTTGAATTTAAATTGGAGTAATAACCATGGAGAAGGCACAGAAGATCTGAATTCAAAATAACTTTCTGTAAAATCTATTTATTGTAAATGCAGGACTATCTTTTAATATATTTCAGGGATGTAGATAAGATTCTGAATTCATAGGAAAAAAAGAGTAAAAAAAGATCTTTAGACGGCCCCAATTTGAATATTAGTTCTGTGTGAATACTGTTAAAAGTTTGTCTTTCTATTTCTTGGAGTAGAAAAAAAATAATACTTGGTTCCTCTTCTCAAAAGTTCTTAAATCTTAGCTCCAGATGCTTAAAGAATTAAATGCCAATTATGAAAATCTTGAAGGATTATCTATATATCAAATTGGTTAGGTCTTATCATCGGGAAATTAAGTAGAAACAATCATTTTTCAGCCTCCGGACTATTATTGATGATGAGCATTTTCTGTTTAGGCTAGGCAGAGAAAAAGCTATTTGATATGTCAATGCTTTAGGACATAACTTTGATTCTGATAGAGTGACATTTGGCATATACATGTACATTCATTGCCTGAATACTTTGACAGTATCAAATGAACATTGTCTGATAAGATAAGAAATTTGATTGCTCAATGCTTTATAAAATGTGCAAGATGTGTGTCACATTTTGGGATTGCAGTGGGTGACATCAAAATTCTCCTACTTTTAAACAATCTTTAACATGTATTTTACTCAATCTGATTAAAACACAGATCCTATTTCGTTTCATTTTTTATAGTTCAAAATTTCGTTTTACTTGTCTTTACTACACTTGGATCTGGAAGAGTTGTTATCATTGACGTGTTCTGGATGATGTGAGGGTTTAGGCAATGAAACAGTCTGTTACAGCGAGCTTTCGGCGTGTGGTGCACGGAACTGTGTGTAATCCACTAGTAACACCAATGCTGATAGGCTAATCAGATGCCTGACGTCATAGGGTCAAAAGCCGCTCGTATGACATGACTCGACCCATCACTACAACTGGTCAGATCTTCATGTAGTGTAGGCCATCAAAAGTATAAAAAAAAACGAAAAGAAATATAGATCTGTATTTTAATCAGATTGGTATTTTACTATGGTAGACCTCTTACTCATGGCTGTGTATTATTACAAAATTTACTAAAAATTTACCTGCAAGATTGGCTGTTTATAAATGTTGTATAAATTAATGGAGTCATTTTAGATTTCTATACCTTTAATTCAAATATAATCTTCGTGTGATATGACTATTTGTTATTTGACTTGTTGAGTATTTGTCGTAAGTAAATATTAAGGCTGATGTCCATCAAACATGACAACCACAATTAAGCAGTGCAGAATTAGAAATTGAAACCACTTGAGAGAATATGATAGTCTCTGGAACTATATCCAGCGAGCACCATATACATCAAACTAAACTATGAAATCTTTAGTATGACCTGAATACAAATCAGTTTTGATAATATATAAAGGAATTTCTATTTTGTGCGTATGCTATGCATGGCACATCCTGTATACACTGAGAACTGCATTTAGTAGATGGAGTTGCTATAGGGTTTGTTTTTTTGTGCTTTTTGGACATTGACTATGACTGTGTTATTGAGCATTCATTTAGTTTTTGTTGACTGTTTCCATTTTTGTTTTCAAACATATCTGTGATGCATTTCATATCCCTTGTGTGTAAGGCCTTGATTAAAAGAAATTTGTTTGCCAATTAATTTCTGTTAGATTCGGTGTTTCAAGGAAGTAACCTAAAAATGTTGCAATCAACTTATTTTAATTAAGGCCTCATGTATTCATGTAAAATTGAATGATATTAATTAGTGTGAAGAATTAAATACATTTATTTATTTTATGATGAAAAGATTGTACATTGAAGATTCTGAATGAAATAGAATAATATATATATATATATGTATGTACACCATATTTGGAAAACCTGTGATGTTAAAGGGATGTTGCCAGATTTTACTTTGGGTTTGGTAGATGCGTACTTCGGTGGGTAGGGCGCTGGCTCACTAACCTGGTAGTAGCAGTTCGATCACGGTGGAAATCAAAATTATTTTCAGTGTGACAGAAATCAATTATGTAATATTTAAAGATCCTCAAATCTTAAGTTTTAAATGGCATTTAGAAGCTGGTAATTTCAGAATGGCCTTTGTACGATGGTTGTGCATTTTAAAATGATCTTTTGAATCATATGTTAATTGAATCTGGCAATGTCTCTTGAAGGAGAGATTTGAACTATGCATGATTTTAACACCAGAGCAATCAAATCTTGTTTTCTTGTTTTGTTTAGATTTGTTGTTTTAGAATGAATCTGAATTTTTTTAAAATTTCTATGAACAGAATTAATTACTAAAAGTGAAAATAAAGACCCTGTACCTTGGTTGTAAGATGTGTGTTTTTATATAGATTATAAAGACTATAAATAAACTTGTTGTCAAAACATTGAAATAGCTAGTACTAGAAACAAATAAAAACATACAATATTTAAACAAATGTTTGTCTTTAAAATTTAAAGAAGCCACGGTGGCTCAGTGAGTTTGGTGCCAACTCGCTGACCAGGAGATCCTGGGTTAGATCCTGGTGTTGACCAAGAAAGTTCCTCATGATTTTTCAGCGTGGTATTCCCTGATCTTTGGTGCGCTAAAGATGGTGTGGCAAGATACAGCATCTATCTGGTCTGATGGGACGAAAAACAGTGGTTACATGTACACGTTGGCAAGCACATAAAGAACCATGGACAATTGGTATTTAAAGAAGAGTAGGCAAAAACACCACTGAAGAGGTGGGGGGGGGGGAATTTCACACCGTAGACCCCATTCCATTTCTTTCTACATTTTTCTCCCACTGCTAAAAAAATAAAAATATAAAACTTGTGTTAGTCCCAAAACACTACTAGTCTATATTTTGTGGACCTTTAACTTTATTATTTTCTCAGCATCAAAGTAGCAATGATGTTGTTGTGACATGGAAAATATGGGAGACTTTCAATATTTGCTTCAACCATGGACCCAATAATGCTTCAAATTATGTACTGCCAGCCTTTATAAAGTAACTTTTTACCCGAAGGTGCCCCCATTCAAAAGGTGTTACATCGATTATTGTTTAAAATGCTGTCTCTTTTTACTTTTCTAACTCTAAATCTCTGGGTATATCTATATACTTTTAAGGCATATTAGAATGTGTATTGTAAAAGAGCCCAGTTGTCTGGAATCAAAATAAATTCCTTGACCCATTGTCCCTTCAACAAATTACTTAAAGTAGCTAAGTCTCTAATTCAATATCATCAAAAATCTTCGACAATGAAAACACAAATTATTTGTCAATTCAAATCAACACTGGTCTTGTGATCTTACAGGGAAAAGATGGGCTTCTGATTTCCAATATTCAAGACAAAATAAACATTTTACCATTGGTACACGAATCGTGTACCATAATGCGTTTCAGCGCCATTTGGAACAAGAGACTCAAAGAACAGGGCAAGACATATTCCACAAGTCATGTCAAATGGTGACGCTATATTCTTATCTGGAGAACATGCGCAATAAATACCATCGGTGTAGACTGGAAAAACCAGACGCTAAAGATTGCCATTCACATGAGACTTCTGGCATATTTCGCCAAATATAACTGATTAGAAATTACAGTAAAAACAGAAACGATTGAATGTAATTCAGTTTATATACATTCATATTACATTATTATATGCGTTGCAACCCATTTGTGTCAATTTCTAGGTCCCAAATATTAGCGATTTAGCTCCTTTAATTATTTATTAACACAAATTATATAGTCTTTGTCGGAAATATACCAGGATCTATTAAATCACGCTCTGTAATTAAATACCGTTCAATAGAAAGACCTTGACTTGTACAATAGTGCATTGAAACTTATCTTAGAAAGCCCACGCATAACTAGGCCTATTCCAATCATTCATTCATTGAAATATATACCGTAAACTCAAGTAGGAGTTTAACTGCACTTTCAGTTAGTTAGCCATAGCCTACCAACCGGTCTTGTCTACTTTCACTTCATACTACAGTTTTCAAAACTATCTTTAATTGACAGTATCAAATTATATGATTATATTTAATTCATGTAAATATCAACTAAGATACTATTTATACTCATCATCTAAATAAAATATTGATCTGACCGTCTGCTATTGACACTAGTACGCATGCGCGATTCATTCTTATGGCAACCAAGAAAACAATTTACAGGTATTCGCTGACAGTGCACGTGTCTAAATATGTAATTTTTGGCAGTGCATTTGAAAAGGATTAGGAAGCATTTCACGAAGATGGATGTAAAACTTATGTAACTTTGGTGTAAATCCTGTTATTAGAAATCAGTTAGGGATACAAGTTATAACGCATAGATAGATAGTTGATATATCACAGTTGTGTTTATCGAAAACGAGGTGAGTGGGACATATTAATGTTATAATCAACAGTGATAAACATTGTATCAACAAACGGTAATTACTACCAACAACAACCGTATTATAAAATAACAAACTTTTGTAGTTTATTTTTCAAAATTAACACATTCTATAGTATACATTTTTTAAAATTCAAATATAGATCTAGCAGCTGTTACTGAGTGCTAATGAAATGTTTTGTTTTAAATTTTAATGAGAAATTTCGATCATTTGGCCAGAAGATATTGATTTTGTAGGTAAAGAAGTATTGATATGAAATGAACTGTCATTGATGTATGATAAATTTAGCGTCAAAGATGAATTCTTCTTCATTTATATTTGTATAAATCATCCTATGCCTAAAGAAATTATTTACAAGTTTTATCCAAGACTAATGGAGAAAAGAAAGCAATAAAAAATAGTAATAAATTTGTAATTTATAGAATTACTGAGCAGTGCACCCCCTCCCGGAAAAACAAAATTGTTACAAAACAATAGCCCCAAGACATACTCCACCCCAATACGAATCATAAATGGATGTTTCGATGCAATAAAATCTTATCTTATCTTTACCGCCTCCCCACCACCACTTTAATTTGAGCTATCATGATTAACTTGAAAGAAACTGCTATATCTTTTTTGTGTTGAAATGTTCCTGGATTCTTGTTCTACTTCTAATATTGTGCCTATTTTGTTTACAGAATATCTCAGGAATGCAACAACCACTTACAAATTCAGAAGCAGTGAGAAGATGCTTTACTATTCCACATGCTCCATTATCTAGTCAAGTAAACAGATATGATTACGAACCACGCCCACCATACGCAGGATTAAACCATATATATTCCAGACCTCTCTCAGGTAGGGCCAAAACCAGAGCTCTCTCAGGTAGGGTCAAAACCAGGCCTCTCTCAGGTAGTGTCAAAACCAAAACCAAACCTCTCTCAGGTAGGGTCAAAACCAGAGCTCACATAGGTAGGGTCAAAACCAGGCCTGTCTCAGGTAGTGTCAAAACCAAACCTCTCTCAGATAGGGTCAAAAAAATTATTATGTACAGCAAAGAACTTTGTGAACTTCCTACACAGATTTGAAGTGGTATTAGTTGTTTAAGAGACAGAAGCATGAGTATGTCGCCACCATTTGCCAGAGGGATGGTGAGTCTCCTCAAAATTTTCAAAAATACTTGGGGAAATACCAAATTTGGGGTATGTCCTGGATAAAAAAAAACGCAATCAAAAGCTTCCTTTGTGGGCCGACCTTGTGATTATTCAATTTAAATCATAATCTCCAGAGTTATAGTCCTTTTAAAACTGTTTTAGATTGCCCTTTTGAAGGAGTTATAGTCCTTTGAAAACTGTTTTATATTGCCCTTTTGAAGGTTTGGACTTACCTTAATTAGTCAGAAAAAACCCACCTTCCTTGGTATTGCTACTGACTTATTACTTTTTCAGTCAGTGTCCCAGTAAAGTCAATGTTATGTTTCAGGGAGGACATCTGCGCAATGACCACCCCACACCCCCAACCCTCCCTTCGCTCTAGGGGGGTTGAATGGCTGAATGGTTAGCGTGCGCGCGCTGTATCATAAAGTCTGTCATTGAGTCGACCGGCGTAGTTTCGAATCCCTGGTTGTACGTGGCAAGGATTAGGGTCGTCTGTCCAACCTCGTGGGTTTTCTCCGGGTCCTCCGGTTTCCTCCCACTGCTAAAGACCCCTACGCGCAAGCGAATTATGTAAATAAGATTAAACCATATGTTAGTCCCGAAATGACCTAGTTTGTGTCGAGTGGACGTTAAACCCCATTTCTCTCTCTCTCCCCTTCACTCTATCGCTCTGCAACTGAGACTTCTTTGCACCTTTGTGTGATATCTATCATAACTTGTATCAGAGATAGGTTTCAAACTTCAATTTTATGTATGGATTCATATTGAATTTGCAATGGTGCAATGGCGCCAGAATCAGTAAGCTTATAGACAACAGGAATGGGGTTACTGTATGGCCATGGCTGAATATATTGCGAATGAACTCTGCTAGGTTGTTGATGGTCCTCAACTTTCAATAATTTGTCAAAGTTTCTTTTAAACATGTAATAGATTCCAGAAATTTATCTATTGTCTATCAGTAAGATGAGACGCTAACCGTTAATCCTTGCAAGTTTACCAGCAAGCATAATCATTCATGGGTTAAACTGAAACATTTTTATTTCCAGCACCAACATATCATGGAAGTCGATCATACTCTGTCCCCACCCCACCCCCACACAGAAATAATAACAATTTATACAACAGACATAAAGAATCAGACGTCAGTAGAAGAGCACCATACGCACGTAAGTTGTATTTAGATAAATTCTTAAAACAAATATTCTGTGTAGTTTCCCCTTGTCAGTGGTTCAGAACAGCTGTCTAGTTTTTCGGATGGGCAGTTGGAATTTGATATAATAAGAGTAGGCCATAGTGTTGCTGCCCGGGCAAAATTTCCCTCATACCACACTGTATGACTTATGCCCGTTTGCATTAGCCCAGTCAGAGCAGAACAGTAAGATGTTGACATGTTGTAAAAACCAAATTTCTATTTAAAGATTTTTTCTTTCAGCTCGAAGATTTGATAGTACTATAAATACAACTGCAGGGTTTGCTAAAGTTGAAAATTATGGGAAATCCCCATCTCTGCCGTCATATGATCCTCTTAATGATGTTCATTTGGTTGATTATTTTGAAAAAAGGTTTGGATCCATGCAGCTTGATGCCTTATTACGCAGAAAGGTAAATATTCTAATATTTGAAATCCCAGAGTTTCATTGTAATATTGGCAACCTTGTTCTAATCTGTTATAACATCATGATTCACAGGACATTTCTAAATTCTGTAGATATAAAGAGAGAGAAAGACAGTAAGAGAAAATGGGGTTTAACGTCCACTCGACACAAACTTTGTCATTTCAGGACCAACATATGGTTCGATTTGTATTTCAATGAAACGTTTTCACATATGGGTCTTTAGCAGTGGGGGTGGTGTGGGGGGAAACCGGGGAAAAAACCCACATGGTGAACAGATGACCCTACTACTTGTCACATACAAGAATGGGCTCAAAACCATACCCCTTGACTCAATGACAGACGTTATGATTTAAGGCACACTCGCTTCATTTTGTTAAGTTTGTCGATTTAGATGATTTACCAGTTGAGTCCTAAGTTGTCACATGACAAGGAGGTTGTTTGCTTGTCTAATTTTGTAGGTTTCCGCCCACTTCTAAAGAGCCCTACACACGATCAGAATAATGAAATATAGATTTACCATTTGAAGTCACAGATTTTATGTAGTTATCTCCCTTTAATGCTAATTGAGGCGATGCTTGGTTGTCAATCCAGAACGTCCCAAATTGACAAAATTGCAATAAAGTGAAGTGGAACTCTGTCAAGTCACAGTGCTGTCAGTCCCAACACTGGAGGTGGTGTGAGTAGAATATTGTGATGTAATTAAACACAACCAATATGTTTCAGCTATCATGGTTGGGTGGCCGAATGGTTAGCATGCGCACTGTATCATAAGGCCTGTCATTGAGTCAACTGGCGTGGTTTCGAATCCCCAGTTGTACGTGACAAGGAGTAGGGGCACCTGTCCAACCTCGTGGGTTTTCTCCGGGTCCTCTGGTTTCCTCCCACTGCTAAAGACCCCTACGCACAAGCAAATTATTGAAATAAAATTAATACTATATGTTAGTCCCAAAATGACCTAGTTTGTGTCGAGTGGACGTTAAATCCCATTTCTCTCTCATGGTTGGGATATTTTCTTATGTAGTCGGCGTAGGTGTTGTAGCTCAAAATCTCCCTTTTCAAACGATTGTCTCTTTTTTTTCGGATTGAGGTAATTCAGTTCCGGAACGTTCAATCGAGTAACGTCTTAAAATGAATGCCTTTTAACCTTTTTTTTTACAGAGATTACTAAATGGAAAACGACCCTCGTCAGCTGGTTCCCTAACCCGTAGATCAAAACCATCAGAAGTAACTTATAAAATTGCTGTAGTAACTGGAAGTAAGAAAAATTCTGGCACAGATGCTAAAGTAAGTTATTTTAATCTACCTGATTGCGGATTGTCTTTGATTGAATTGCTCATGATTCATAGTATTTGTTAAATTGGGACAGTTTGAATTTTGGATAACAGTAGGGTGAGACACTGCTATGTGGACAAGACTATCCTCCTTGTCATTGAACAACTAATCATAGATATGACATGAAATGGGTTTTTAAACGTTAAAACAATCTACTTTTCTACACAATTCTGCACCATTTCTTTCCATTTTGTTTCTATGCCATTGAATCTTCAAAAGTATGGTTACTAAATTTATCTAGAAATTAAAGTTTCATGAAATCTGTAATATTTTGTGTTTATTTTTCAATTTGACAGGTATTTATAAAACTAAAAGGTACAAAAGATAAATTACCGAAAACCAGATTAACCAAAAAAGCAGGCTCCGTAAAATCCAGTAGAGATGTTAGTTTTAAATTTGGAAAGGGAACAACACATATGTTTAAAATAAAAGGTCCAGAAATTGGTGATCTAAAATCTATAGTCGTTGAGGTATGTATCACTCTCAAGAGGTCAACTATGAATTCTGTATACTGGGAGATTGGGTGGCTTAGTGGTTTAACATGTGTAGAGTTTTCTATACGTTTCAAGGTGTATAGTTGCGTGGATAACTGTGTGTATATTCTTTGGGGACTCTTTGCTCAGGCAAATTATTGAAATAGAAATATATCATATGTTAGTGCTGAAAGATCTTTTTAGTGTCAGGTATAGTTCAATTCTCCCTTTTTGTATTCTAAATTAATTGCTTCCTTATCTTTTATAAGTTTGTAAATTTTGTTGGATTATACTTGCCTCTATAAATTGTAGCTGGTTTTGCCCACCTGTGATGTAACGGTGGCACTGTGCATAGGACACTGGCTCGCCAACCAGGATGTCCTGGTATTGATCCTGATAATGGCCAAGAATGTTACTCTGGATTTTTCACTCTGATTTAAATTAAAATTTTGTTCTGTCTGTTCTGAATTCTTGTCTTGTTTGTTCTATGGTGTCTGTAATGATTATTTTGATGTCTCTTCAATACAACTCTATGAAATTTTAAATCTAATTTATTTATAGCACAATGGAAGTCGGAAAGAAGACGCATGGTTTTTACAAGAAATTGAAATCGTCAACACAAAAACGAAGAAAACATGGAATTTTATTTGTAATCAATGGTTGTCATTACACCATGGTGATGGACAAACAATGAGAGAATTATTTGCTCAGAGGTCTGCAAAAACAGGTAATGTTTTAATTTAATCTACAATTTATATATTTATATTAAAATGTTTTGCACCAAGTTAGGTTGTTGATGGTTTTGACAGGAGCTCATACAATTCACATACTAGTAACTTTTAATATCCACATACTAATGTGTAGTAACTCTTAATGTCCATATACTATAACACATAATATCCAAATACTAGTAACTCATAATATCCACATACTAGTAACTCATAATATCCACTCATAATATCCCCATACTAGTAACTCATAATATCCACGTACTAGTAACTCATAATATCCACATACTAGTAACTCATAATATCCACATACTAGTAACTCATGATATCCACATACTAGTAACTCATGATATCCACATACTAATAACTCATAATATCCACATACTAGTAACTCATGATATCCACATACTAGTAACTCATGATATCCACATACTAGTAACTAATGATATCTACATACTGACAACTCATGATATCAACATACTAATAACTCCTGCTATCCCTATACCAGTAACCCACAATATCCTCATACTATTAACCCCCATTTTATCGCCATACTAGTAACCCACATTTTATCCCCATACTAGTAACTCATAACATCCACATACTAGTAACTCATGATTTCCACATATTAGTAACTCATAATATCCACTTACTAGTAGCTTGTGATATCCACATACCAGTAACTCATGATATCTACATAAGTTTATGATACTAATAAGAATTTTTTTTTTTTCTTCATAATAGTAACTCATTATATCCTGATAATCGTCATGATACTAATAAGAATTTAAACTTTTTTCTATAGAATACGAGATAGTTACTGTTACTGGTGATAGACCAAATGGTGGAACAAATGCAAACGTCTTTTTAACCTTATATGGAAAAACAGGAATAACTCGAAGATTTCACTTAAGAAGCTCAGAAAAGGGTTTGTTTGATCGAGGAACAACAAATTCATTCAGATTTCCATCCAATTGTGTTGGTCCTATGAAAAAAATTCGAATAGAACATGATAATACTGGTATTGGAGCTGGTTGGTATTTAGAAAGGGTATGTAGGCTTTCATTCACTAAATCATATTAATTCCAAGGGCTTTATTCACGAACACTTGAACTGAAATATTATTTTAAAGATGCAGGCATATCATTGGTTTAGAGTTTTTAAGATGAATTATTGTGCATTTGAATGTATATCTTATTAATTTAATAATTTTTTTTTTCTTCTAAATAATAGGTTCATATAACTGATGTTAAAAATCCCCAGTGGAAATATTTTTTCCCATGTGGTCAGTGGTTGGCTGCTGATGAGGGTGATGGTTGTATAAGTAGAGATCTGGTAGGAAGTAAAGATCCAAATGCTGTTAGAAGAGGTAACAAAATTGACCATTACCACCATCTTGGTCTTTATATTAATTTACTAATAATTGCTGTAATATTGCTAGATAATCAAGACTATATTATTTAGGGATAGTGTTGTCATATTAATTGAAGATTTTGTAATCATCTTGGTAGTGTTTGTGTTCTGAGGTCATAAAATGCTGATTTAGGAACAAATAATGAATTTTTATCCTATGCTCAGTGATTTGGATGGAACTGAGTGGTCACATTAATTAACGTGCAATAACCCATATGTGGTTTAACAAATATGATTCTGATAATACTTGGTATTCTAATGGGTGCTTACGATAGAAAAGGTATAGTGAGTGTGTGTTCATTAGCATATCATAAAGCTTGTTATCTATGCAAGTAGTGTCTTCAAACCCCAGTTTGTGTGTGATAGGAAGTGCTGTGGCCCATTTCCCCTCACTTCTAAAGACCCCTGCATTCAAGTGAATCATTATTATAATGACAACATACCCTATGACCTAGTGGGGGGGTTGGATGACCGAATGGTTAGCATGCGCACGCTGTATCATACGGTCTGTCATTGAGTCAACTGGCGGGGTTTTCGATTCCCAGGTTGTACGTGACAAGGAATAGGGTCGCCTGTCCAACCTCGTGAGTTTTCTCAGGGTCGTTCGGTTTCCTCCCACTGCTAAAGACCCCTACGTGCAAGCCAATTATTGAAATAAAAAAATAAACCATATGTTAGTCCCGAAATGACCTAGTTTGTGTCGAGTGGACGTTAAACCCCATCTTTCTGTCAAATTACCCAATGTTTTAACATCTCTTACAGCTTCCAAGTATAAAGTGACTGTTTTTACTGGAAACAAGAAGGGAGCTGGTACCGATGCCAATGTTTACATCATATTATTTGGAGAATTCGGTGACTCTGGAGAGAAAAAACTAACGTCAAGAAAAAATAACTTTGAAAGAAATAAGTAAGTTGTATTTGTAGAAAGTTATTCTATTTTAAGTGTAAATTGTGAATACATTGTATCTTGTTATGTATCTTGTTACCTAACACTTCAGAAAGAGTTCTGGAAAACAAGAGTTTCATTCATCTATTTGTCTTGGTAACCTAGACTAAATAAAATATATCATGGGCAATGTCAAGATTATGCTTATGGCCAGAATTGATTTCGAGTGTTACTTTATATATTAACTGGTGATTACTTTGAAGACAAGAAGGGTAGACAGGGGCTTACTGGGTAGCCTTTGAACCAATTGGTTTTCTTGGACCTCCATTGCAGTGAAGAATACTTGACATAAGACAACGAAACTAGCTTGATTCACCTTTCCGACACTCCATACATGGATCATTTTTCCCCTTGGATGCGAAGATATATGTATTTGTCAATTTCTTTTCAATCGGTGCCAGTGGGCCCCTTACTGCTCGATCTTCGGACAGCATCCGACAATTCAATCCCCTGGATATAACACATATTTTACAAATTTAAAGCACGATACCAACACGAAACTAGCTGAACATAACCCGACAAATTCATTTGGTTTATCTGGCAACCTATCATTCCGTTATAAATTTATGTATAGAACTGAATGAAAGAACTAAAACATTGTAGCCAATCCTCCAACATAATAAATTATTGCTAATATAAACAGATGTCATCTTCAGACATGAATGATAGAAATCCCATTGATTCAATTTCCACACCTGTTTAATAAATAGCAATGAAACAATTTGAACTTGGCTACTTATATTACTGTGGTGGGTCGTCTATGTTGAAATACAGGTGTACAATTCTTTAAATCATTCAACGCTAATTAAGATGTTAACACTAAAAAATTAGGTATTGTTAAAATCAGTGTTAATGAATTACTAACAAAGATACACAGATCTTGTCTAGATACCTTGCCTATCACAAGACAAATTTTTGATCAAATTTTTATGAATAGTTTGTGAGATATCACTTCCAATGTTGGGATTTATTGTTCTCATATGTTGTTTTTTTTATTTTAAAAAGACCTTTTTTTTCAATAAAAAAATCCTTCTTTTTTTTTAATAGAAAGACCTTTTTTTTTCTAAAATGCCCCAATTTTTTAAGTAGTGTCTGAATCAAAACATAAACATTAGCTTATAAACATAAATTTAGGAGATAATCAATTTGTAGGAGATTCCCTGTAATTACAGATTATAAATTGATCAAATGTTGAATTTTGTGTAATGTAATGATAAATAAATCGAAACAACAAAATAACAAAACATGTTGTCATTTGTCCATCAGATGGTCAAATGGTTGTTATAATGTGAGTTTTTGATAGTTAAGTTGGATGGGGGCATAATCTTATAAAAATTAGAGGCTTCGGTCCATTCAGCACTCACTAAATGTGTTTGTGCCCCCTTTATGAATTGCCTGGCAAAGAACAGTGTCTAGTTGGTTGGATTGTATGAAAAACTGATATCATGTGTACATGTTAGCATGTATGTAAATGAACCTTTGTTGAATTCAATGAAGAGTAAGTGGAAATGTTGCTGTCTAGGCAAAATGTTCCCTCATTTCACAAATTGCCTGATTGGTGCGAAAAAGTAGAACATTTTCAATTTATTTCATTTCATTACTGAATTGCCCTCTCCCCACATTACAAAATATCTTTGATACAGTACTTATGGCAAATTTACAAAATATCAACATTGTTTGAGGATTCTTCCACTTTAAAGAACAGGTGTAAAATTCCTTCAGTGCTAATTAAGATATTAACACGTTCAACATTAAAGGCATTGTTAATGGATTCTATATTTTACTTCGTCTGTTATTTCGCACTTTAAAAACCAACCTATACTTGGGTGGTACAAGTTTGTCTTTCTAACAGTTAAACCACTTTTGCATTCTGTTTGTACTTTTGATCAGAGAGGGGGGGTTGGGGTGGCTGAATGGTTTTAACGTGTGCACGTTAGATCCACAAGGTCTGTAATTGAGTCTCTCCGGTTGTACGTGACAAGGAGTAGGGTCGCCTGTCCAACCTCGTGGGTTTTCTCTGGGTCCTCCCACTACTAAAGACCCCTACGCGCAAGCGAATTATTGAAATAAAATTAAACCATATGTTAGTCCCGAAATGACCTAGTTTGTGTCGAGTGGACGTCAAACCCTATTTCTCACTCTCTCTGTGTGTAAGTGAGTCAAATTGCATGGATTTGATTCCCCGCTTGTACATGACAAGGAATTGGGTTGCCTGTCCAACCTTTGTGGGTTTTCTCCAGGTCCTCCCTACGTGCAAATGAATTGATGAAATAAAATTGAACCATATGTTAGTCCCAAAGTGAACTAGTTGTGTTGATTGCACGTTAAACCCTATGTCACTCTCTCTATCTATTTCTTACTTTATAATCCAACCAATACTTGGGTGGTACAAGTTGTTAAACTTTCTTCACAGTTAAATCCTTCTTGTGCTGTCTGGTTTAGTTTCTTCTAAAATACATAATTCGTTCCCGATATTTATTTCACCAGATGTAGACTAAACTGTACATCATTCGTTCTTCACAGAGATGATTGTCAAAATAATTGAATTTGATCTCTTGAGGTTGTTCTTATCTTAATGGCTTCATGCTATAATCATAACATAAATTACACATAAACTATCTGTATATTATCACGATGGATGTAATATTTGTTTTAATCTTCTGTCTGTTTGAAATTGTGGGGTTGAATGGCCGAAGGGTTAGCGCATACGCATAAGGTCTGTCATTGAGTCAACTAGCTTTTGATAGACTCTTATTATGCTGTTTTGATAGTCTCTTATTCACTATACCCTACCATAAATAAAAAACATGAAATAGGAATTTAATTTGCATTTTTATACATTATCAACTGACAGTGAAAATCATGACATGGAAGCCAGACATTGCTATATTTTGATTATACAGAATAATCAGTTCTAATTAGATTTTCAGTACTTTACTCTTATTCTAGCGGGGGAGGGGGGGCGCAAATGGTTAACACATGAGTGTTGGATCATAAGGTCTGTCATTGAGTCAAGTGGCGCGGTTTCGATTCCCGAGTTGTGCGTGACAAGGAGTAAGGTCGCCTGTCCAACCTCGTGAGTTTTCTCTGGGTCCTCCGGTTTCCTCCCATGGCTAAAACTCCTATGCGCAAGAGAATTATTGCAATAAAATTGAACCATATGTTAGTCCCAAAAATGTGTCAAGTGGACTTTAAACTCCATTTCTTCTTCTTTCTTATTCTAGCACAGATTTGATCAGTATTTGCAAATGTGATGGAACATTAAAATGTAGAATAGAATTAGAAAACGGCTTCACTATAAAAATATTCTGAGCCATCAACAAAAACTCATCATGTGTATAAAATATTGATCAGATTAATTTGTTTTTCAGTGCTGATGAGTTTTTCATTGAATGTCCAAAACTTGGTCGTTTAGAGAAAGTCCGGATTGGTCATGATGATTCTGGATTTGGACCTGGCTGGTTTTTGGAGAAGGTAAGTTTGATTTGTTTGTATGACCCGTATGATTTTACACACTATATTTTATCATCATTCTCTTGAGTATTTTTCCAGTTATTGAAATATATATTTAGGTCCTACAATATCTTAGTATTGGGTATTTGATTTCTCTCTCCCTCATTAAAACAAAATTGTTTCCAGCCAACATGTTTTCAAATATGTTTACATAAAGCACAGCTTTAGTAATTTAAAAAGCCTAATTCTCGATTATCAAGTAGGAGGTTATTTTGCCTGGAGTGTATGGGGTCTAGTGTCTGTTTGCATCAAAGCCAAGAGAATATTACATCTACACTTAATAGAACTTTTATGTGTGTCTGATCTATGATTTAAATAACAGAATATTTATTGTCCTATTTTCTGGTCAGTTTATGGAAAGCTCAAATCTGATTCAGAAATTGTAACTTAGTACTGATTAAGCCGGGGGGGTTGAATGGCAGAATGGTTAGCACATGCGCGCTGTATCATACAGCCTGTCATTGAGTCAACTGGTGGGGTTTCGATTCCCCGATTGTACGTGACAAGGAGTAGGGTCGCATGTCCAACCTTGTTGGTTTTCTGCGGGTCCTCCAGTTTCCTCTCACTGCTAAAGACCTCTACGCGCAAGCGAATTATTGAAATAAAAAATGGAACCATGTGTTACTCCCGAAATGACCTAGTTTGTATTGAATGGAGGTTAAACCCCCTTTTTCTCTCTGATTAAGCCATAGATGATAACTTTTATTATAGGTTTAATACCCAGTGCTTCATTGTAAATACATTATTTCCTTGTTTTTTCCTACTAGATAATAAATAAACAGTTTGGGCAATTAACACTGTTAGAAACTGAGCCAGGCGAACTAAACTGATTCTAATAGTTTTCACATGGCCATACCCTTTTCTTTTAACTCAGCAATTACGCACATCTTTAGATGTTAGTGACTACAGATATATAGATTCCACCTATTCTTAGCTACATTAGCTATGAATTAAAACTCCTGAAGTTCTTGGTTACATGAGCTGTGAAGTTGAAATTAAAACCCCTGATTCCCATGGGTAGCCAATAATTCAGTTGTTATTTACAACTATTGTAATGTTATGAAAGTATGAATGGGTCTGTGTGAGACTTCGAAGCTGGTTGGTCATGTGTGCGAAAATATTGTCATGTGTATAAGACAAGGGCTAGTCTTCTGGGTAGGAACAGTGCAGGTCATGTGTGCGAAACAAGAACTGGTCCTATGGGTGGAAAAAGTTCAGGTTATGTGTATCAGATAAGGGTTGGTCTTCTGGGCGGGAAAAGGGCAGGTCATATGGGTGAGTTAAGGGTATGTCATGTATGAGAGATCAGAGCTGGTCATATAGTCAGCTGGTCATGTAGGTTAGACAAAGGACATGTTTGGTCACGTGAGACCATAATCACGACTTGTTATGTGAGTAACACCAGGGTTGGTCATGTCGATGAGGCAATAGTTGGTATGTCATATTAGTTGAGACCAAGAATGGTCGAGTAGATAGGACCAGATTTATTCTTGCATAAAAGTATCAACAGATTAGCCCTATGTTTGCTACATTTTGTAAAAGTAAAGTATTCTGAGGCTTGTGATTTTAAATTTTGTAAAACAAATGCTCTACTGGATGAGGAGTAGATGTATGATCATGTTTTCGAGACAAGATAATGTCATGTGGGCATGACCATTTGAATAGAGGCCACTACAGGAATCAACCGGATACAAAATTTTATTTATTTATGATATTTCTGTTTAATGTCAGTCGCAGTAGAATATGTTGTAAAATAAAACCTCCCAGGAAATTTAAAATGTATTTGTTGATACAAGCATTAACATGAATTCAGGGTGATAACAGATCACTATCTGGTCTTTCTTAACTTTAATGTCTAAATAAATGATTCAATCCTATATCATTTTAAGATCCAAATTAAGATAGCAGTCAAAGGATAGGTCAGAGCATTCAAAATTTTGTTCCATTAATGTGGCTGATGCTGTTAATATGGGTTTGTGTCGTCTAATATTAAACAAGAACCTTAAAGAATAATGGGCCTGACAGATGTCAAGTTGTTCGGATGGGACAAAAAACCAAGGTCCCGTTTTTTTCATTGGCATGTACATAAAAGGTCCATTACAGTTGGAATTCGATATAAGAGTAGGCCTTAGTACGGCTGCCCTCATAGCACACTGTCTTTATTAGCCTAGTTGGAGCAAAACCGTAAGACGTTAAACCCCATTTCATCCATTCATCATCAAAGAATAATGGATATCAAATTATGTTTCATTGTCACACAAAAACTAAGCCTACTCTGCCTTGTGCATGACACTTTTAAAGTTTTCACAAAGTTCAAATAAGTGCTAATAATCTGTCTCATAAAAGTACTCAGATGTTTCAGTGTGGGCTGTTGTACTTTTTGATGAAGCCAATGAATGATTTGTTATTCTGACTGACAAACGGTTAAGATAACATTGATAAATGGCCATTGGATACATCCTCATCTCAACCAACCGAGACCAAATAACATCTTTATCTTTATATTCCCCCATTCCACTGCTGCTCATGGTGGACTAACAGTAGTCTTCAAACAAACTTGACTCTGTTTATTGTTTTTAGTAAACCTGTTTACCCTGGTATGGATATGATATATGATTATTATTCAAAAGAAAGTAAGCTGTTTATCTTTGGGTCAAAAATCTTAGAAGAAACCAGTTAATAATTTTCTACCCCATGACGATCTGATAATCTCTCTAAACTCTTTTACATACCTGTGTTGTAAGATAACAGTTTTTGATATGGGTACATGCTGTAAGAAAACATAGACATCTATTTTGTTTAGTTTAATATATCATTTTCATATCTTGTATTCTTTGTATTATCTGGCTGTGAATTTGTGCCTGTGTATAACTTTTGTCTTTTTATATTTCACCTCTACATATTGTATGCTGCCAATAAAGGCCGTTTCAATGCCATTTTCTTCTATTCTATTCAGTTTCTTGTGTCATTCCGGAGCATAGGATTATTTTATTGGAGGGGAACACAGATTTGGATGCTCTGATTTCTCTGTTTTCCCGCCTGAATATCACCAGTCACAAATTTAGTTGAATATACGCAGAGGCGTAGCTGTAAAATATATATTGGGGTGGTCTGCAACCCTAACCCCTAACCCTAACCCTAACTCATTTTTAAAACCCCTAAAAAATGTAAACAAACACCATGTGGCCATGCTGTCTACCAAGACACCGCGTGCAAAAGCATTATGGTTACATTGCTGGCTGAGCGGTCGATAAATATTTGGTTTAGGTGATAATGTTTTTGGGTACCTACATGCGATTCACTCTGATAAGTGGCAGACAAAAATTAACAAAATATTACTGACAGGCTAACTAGACACAATTTTATGGAACACAGTTACTTTTCACTTCACACATGTTTCCAGGATGATTCTCTCTGTGTTTTATTTTAGCAATGTAAACCATATTGGGATATGTACAGGTTTTATACAGATAGAATCTTAACTAATCCTAATAACTGTTGTAAATAAATAGGAGTTTGGGCCTACTATGTAAATTTTTTGGGGGAAGTCCAAGTATATTGAGACCCCCCCCCCCCCCCCCAGGAAAACAATTGGGGGGGGGGGCGGACCCCCCCATGTTTGACGCCCATGAATATACCAAAAAGTGACCATCACAGTTTTATTTTTCGATTATATTAGTGGAATTCTTGATACTATAGATTGGAATATTAGTCTTGGCGATGCTTATTGTTCAAAAACTGTTCAGTGGAATAGATTGAATTGCAATGATTGCAGAAGTTTCTGTGACCCTTGTGCTTGATTTTCAGTCACATGAATTCGTAAAATTTCCCTGCGTCTTCTCCAGATTCTCTTTTTTCTAAACTGAATTTCAGGCTCTTCATAATGGTCAATAATAAAGAACCAAAAAAAAATACTTAGCCACAGTTAAATATTCAAATTATCAATTAGTTATGTAAATATTATTTAATAAGCAATTATTTCGTCAAGTAATTAACTTTATTCATTTTTTCTTGACTGCTTTTAAATTGCTTTTATCTAATATGTGTATTTTAAAATGAGCATTTATGAGCATAAATTGTACACATTATGATGTTTACATAGTAAACACTAACAACCATCAAAAGTTTGGGCATATATATTTAATTGAGCAACTGCTTGAAACATTTTGTTTTATGGTTTACCTGAGGAATAAATAAAGCCTAATTAAGAAAGTAACTGGAAATCATATAAGTAAATCTTAAACTATTTTTAGAATCCCAAGGTACTTTTTATTCCCAGAGCTTTCTTGAGATAAACAACTTGGAAAGATTTCTTCTTTTTAGTGTACTTTATGCAACTAGTTTCACTCATTTATTTACAATTAACGATAAAAGACTACATGTACCAGGTTTTTCTTAAAGTAGCACTTCCAGACTTAAAGGTACCTGTTATAAAAGTGTGACGAGTTCATAAATTTGACCACAAAAATGTGAAGAAACAGCTTGTCTGCTATTTTCAGCTCTAGATATTGAGCCGTTTGAAAATAATAGCTAGATTTTCTTATCAGGGTTATGATTATCTTAGTGTTATGTTTCGAATTTAAAGAATTCCGGTGTTCAATTGTCTGAGTGACTTTGTAATGATGTTAATCACTTATCGTTATAAATTAAAACCTGTTTCATTTCAATTCACAAATATGTAAATATTGCTATCCAGGTAGAGGGTTGGATGGCCGAATGATTAGCACGTGTGCATTGCATCATAACGTCTGTCATTGAGTCAACTGGCGTGATTTCAATTCGCCAGTTGTACGTGACAAGGAGTGTCCAACCTTGTGGGTTTTCTTCTGGTCCTCTGGTTTCCTCCCACTGCTAAAGACCCCTATGCGCAAGTGTATTATTGAAATAAAATTGAACCCTATGTTAGTCCCAAAATGTTAGTCTATCTCTCTCTCTCCAGGCACTTAAGAATATAGCCTCTCTGAAATACCATATTCCTTGCAATTTTCATATGGAGAGTAAGCTGAAGTCACTGTTAAGTCTTTTTACTAATTTTAATTTTGACTGTTTTATTTAATGCAAAACACGATGAAATTTACCATACTGATCAGCAGTTGATTAGCAGTGAATATGTCATCTTATACAGAGTTATAAGAAGGCTTTTGCAATGCCATTGTGAAACAGATTGTATATTTACCAATAGTCTATATCATGCAAAATATGATGGTAGTCCTTAAATTCTTTATCATCCAGATGGTAGCCACCACAATTTGGACGCATGCCTGTGACTGCTTACAGTCATTTTTATCCAGACAATGATTGTGACCAGTACTTTTTGCACGCACTGCTGTCAATGCTTACAGTCCCTATCATCCAGATCATGATACCGGTAGTAGCCACAACCATTTGTACGCATGCCTGTCAGTACTGGACATTTTAAATTTTTATCCATGGGAAAGAGGTTGTGTTCTTTTGACATTTGTTTTAATGGAGTTTTTAAAGTCAGTTCTTTTGACATTTTGGTTTTATATGCAACAGAAATAAAACTTTTCAAAACAAAAATTTAAGGCAGGAAGTCTGTTGTTAATTTATTTATAATTCTATACCTGATTTAAGAGTCTGTTTATTTCCTTTTAATTGACAATGGCTTAATATCAAGTTTGTGTACATGTTGAAATAGTAGCGTCGGTTACACAAGCAACGCTTTACGCAATTCACCGAATGTCATATGAAATTTTAGCTTATTCTTAAAATTATTCAACAGATTAATGTGCAGTTTGTATATGTTCAGATGGTTGTGTCTGCCATGTGGGCAAATTTTATTTATCATTTTAAATCAAGAGCCGCACCAAACTGACAGTCTGCACATATGAAATTTTATTTCGAAAATAAATTCACCAGTCCATTGAAAGTTAACGAAGTGAAAAAAGATTGAAAGGATTGGCAGACGTGGAAAGAAACAGCTGTATATCCTGAATAAATAAATTGCCGTCTGGCACTGTATGTATCACACCCAAACATGATGGTAAACATTCTCAACCAAATCTCACGCTTAATAGTACATTTACATTGATAAAAATCCTACTGAGTTGATTATGCTTATAAAATAAGAATCAAACATCGCGGTAAGCATTCTCAACCAAATCTCATGCTTAGTAGTACATTTACATTGATAACAAATCCTACTGAGTTGATTATACTTATAAAATAAGAATCAAACATCGCGGTAAACATTCTCAACTAAATCTCATGCTTAACAGTACATTTACATTGATAACAAATCCTACTGGGTTGATTATGCTTATAAAATATGAATCAAACATCGCGGTAAACATTCTCAACTAAATCTCATGCTTAACAGTACATTTACATTGATAACAAATCCTACTGGGTTGATTATGCTTATAAAATAAGAATCAAACATAGCGGTAAACATTCTCAACTAAATCTCATGCTTAACAGTACATTTACATTGATAACAAATCCTACTGGGTTGATTATGCTTATAAAATATGAATCAAACATTTACTTAGAATTATATGGAATAATGTTTAAATCTTTCATAATTGGATTAATTTTGACACAAATGCAATGAAAATGTAGAAAATGTGTGAAGTGGGGCAAAAATAAAGCAAGAGCAGCAATTAAAGCCACATTGCCTTTGATTTGCCTTGGAAATCATTTTTAAGAAACAGATAATTGATTTCCTTTGTATTTTGCTAGAATCTAGCGAGGTCTTCAAATTAATTTCAAATGTTATAATGTTTGTGAGGTGTATTGAGACATCATTTTTAATAAAAAGGGCAAGAGGACTGCACCACAGAAAACAAAAGCCTATGAGACAAACCTGCGAACAAAACACACAGTACACACAGATATCGCAAGCAATAAACGACAAACGTGTAACTCAAAATAATTTACTACTGTAAGTGTCCACAGCACTGTAGAGTCCATAACCTATAATGATACATGCTTCACTCAAAAGGAAACAGACAATTCTTTTCCTTTTTATTTTAAAGGGACAATAACACTCTTGCTGGCTTGATAGCTCCAGAAAATAGAAAAATAGCCTTATTCTAAGTACTAGATGTGTTAGTGTCTTACCTGTTGTGTAAATTATCCATTAAATCCTATTTTACTTGTTCAGAGGGTTAGAAAATATTTTTAAATCCAAGTCATATTTGAATAGGTTTACGTTAGGCTTTTCAAATCATTTAGTTGAATTTTTCCAGTTTTTTAAATTAGGTGTGTTAAGATGAAATTTATATCATCAATTAATATGAATATTGTAAAATAGTGCAATTTTATGACCAGAATAAAGATTGGGACATATTATTCAGTTACAACAAGACTGGTATTGAGCCTTTAAAACCTTGCTATATGTCGCTTACATGTTTGTTATTACTTACAATGTATATACATCAACTTAATATCCAAATAAACACACAATACACCATTGTCTTCTAAACAAAATTTTACCATTTCATTTCCAAACACTATAGATCTATTGTGCAACAATTGAAAACACATTTTTTAACCAACATTAAAAAACTTCAAATACTTTATTTCATAATTTAATTTAAAAGGCACTTGATATTTTTTGCTGACATAATGTTTTTCTTGGAGAAATTTAACTGTAAACATGTAAATAAAAGTGTGCAGGACATGTTTGTTAATGATAGACACATGTTTACCTTTAATCTAAAACTCATTTCTCTTGTATACTTTGTAGCAGCACGCCAACAACAAATTATAGAAGGTGCTGGATTTACATTTAGGAATATCATCAGGCAATAAGAGCTACAGTATTTAATTTTTTGCAACGAAATCATTACCATTATGACATTGATTAGTTAAATAATCTACATAGTTATCAATTAACAATCTGCATTGTTCATTAGTTAAAGAAACATTATGTAAGATTTAGATAAAGAGCCAACCATTCTTGCTATAATAGTTTGAAAATAGATAATGTAAAATTAATAATTTGAAAATTTCATTCAAATTACTCTATTGCGAGCGAAAATATTAGCCTTTGAAGGTTTGAAAAGACGTGTGCAATAATTTCAACCACCGTACTGGTTGTTCGAAGCTAAGTCTTGCTCCTCCATTTTTAGCTTAAATCAAAATATGGCTGAACGGTTCTACTCTATTTAATATCGGAGAAATCCGATGCCATCGAGAGTTGATTATGGTCTGGATAAAGGTAATTAATGTGTAATTAATATAGAAAACATTTCAGGCCTAAAGAAAGACCTGCAATTGGAAGATTTAGCTCTTGCATAATGTATGTTTTATAAGGCACTTAGTTAATCAGTTCATCTACAACATTAATTGGGAAATGCATGGTTAATCAGTTAACAACTTGTGCCTGTTTCTAACCAACTTGGTTGTTGAGTTATAACATGGTTAACTACAGTTAATGACCATGTCAGTTTCTGGCCTACACCGTGAATGAGGTAGACACCTACATGGTTAACCAGGTCCGTTTCTGACCTAAATAGTGGATGAGGTAGTAACCTACATCATTAATCAGTAAACCGGATTATTTTCTAAGCTCGTACATAGTGGGTGAGGTAGAAACCTACATGGTTAATCAGTTAACCTGATGAGTTTCTAACCTACAAAGTGGATGAAGTAGAAACCTACATGGTTAATCAGTTAACCTGGTCAGTTTCTGACCTATATAGTGGATGAGGTAGAAACCTACATCGTTAATCAGTTAACCGGGTTATTTTCTAAACTCGTACATAGTGGGCTAGGTAGAAACCTACATGGTTAATCAGTTAACCTGATGAGTTTCTAACCTACACCGTAAATGAGTTAGACACTGACATGATTGATAACCCTTTCTTTGATCAATTAAATAATTTCTCCAAAAATAATAAATTTTAATGAAAATATTTAAAATCCATTATACAATGTCTTCCAAAATATTAAATATAAACAAAAATCTAGAATGAAATAAACAAATGTATGTATGTTTCCTTTGATGTTTTGTTGCCATTTTTCTCCCTAGAATTATATCATTAGGTTTCAGTAAATCATACTGTACTCCTTAATAAAATAATTGAGAGATTTTTAACTTTTAAATTCTTAAAAAGTTATAACAAAGGAAAACTTAGAGTTTTATTAATAACAAAACTGAACAAAATATTAATTTAGCTATAAAAATTAAAAAGACTAAAAAATGTAAAAATATCTTTCATGCTATAAATTCTCTGCCCATTGAAAGCATTGACATTATGAATATACAAATATAATGCCAATTTCAATTACATAGCACTAAATAAACAAAATATGTTTTTATTAATAATATAAGTAAAAAAGAAATACTATATTGCACTTGCTTACATTAGACTAGAGATAAACATAATCTTGTATGAACATGTATAAAATGGTTTTTGTACAATAAACCAGAGCTCTAATCTGGGCTTACAAGCCTGGAAATAAGGCACAAAGCTCAGACATTGCTGAGCACAAGTCTCAGACATTGCCGGGCACAAGTCTCAGACATTGCCAGGCACAAGTCTCGGACATTGCCCAGTGCAAGTCCCAGACATTGCCGGGCACAAGTCTCAGACATTGCTGGGCACAAGTCTCAGACATTGCCAGGCAGAAGCATCAGACATTGCCAGGCATATGTCAAAAGCACAAATTCAGGATTGATCATGTACAACCCCTCTGGTGTCTGTCATTAAATATACATGATTGGCACATGGTTTAAAATGTCAGATATTAGTTTAACAGATGCTGCCATTTTCTCAGGTACATGTACAACTAAAATCCTCATTTCCGGGCCTTGGGCTTTATTTTTGCCAGTCAGTGTCAGGGTGTCAGAATTACCTGTCAGACAATTTGCATGCCAGAAAACTGATATATAAGTCACTAATATCAAATTTTCCATCGCTTAATCCATACTAAAATGCACTCCTATTTGATATTGAACATTTAATTAAGAAAAACGAAATAAAAATAGCAACGGCAATTCCTCTTCTGGATTGGACTCTGTCGTATTAAAAAGAGACCTATCATATTGGTTCAGCAGAACTTGCTGGAGACGGTTTGTTTAAAAGAGTTATAGATGAAATAACGCCCCCTCAAAAAAACCTTGGAATTTTATTCATGGGTTTTTGAACAATAGATAATTATTAGTTAAGTTAGTCAAATCCAGAAACTAAAATCTATTGGTATGAAGGCCATAAATATCCTATAAGATTTACCTTATTTAAAATGAGAGCTTAGAGTTCAAAAAAGATTATGGTTATTGAACCAAAGATAACAATTGAGGTATTGAAATCCGGCAAACAAAAAGCTCTTCTTAAGAAGCCCCTAAAACCACCATAAAAGTCAAATTTATGCTAAATTCTAATGCTGCCTGACTTCTCATTGAATTAAGTTTGATAGAAAAGTTTTCAAAATTGTACGGCACAAGTTATCAACCATTTTTATGGTGGTGCTCACAGGATTATGCTCAGTTTTAGTATTAAGCTTCATCGTAAGTAAATAAGTTTCATTGCCATGAAAAAAGTTCCTTGAAATTTAGAATATAACTGTACATATTTACACTTATTGTATTCTGGTGAATTTAAACTTTGTTTCTAGTTGTCTGCTAATTCTGACTGTTGTCTTAAAAAACGCCACAAATTGGTTTGAAACACAATTCACAAACACAATATAATCTTTTGTAGTCAACAGTCTTTTAATTTTAATCCTTATCTGTTATTTCCTTGAGAAAACATTATGTGTTTACAATTTTTCAGAATATTCCACAGAAAGGAGTATATAAAGATGTCCTTTTCTAACTTTGTTGCAATGTTTTACTGTGGGATTGAAATAGTTGGATTGCCATTGTCCAGCTGAATTATTAGTCACTATAACAACACCAATAAAAATTTTTTTTATGATATCCGATCTCTGTAAAATAGTATGTACACATATCACATATTCCATCGTTTGCCGTCTGATGAAAACACTGACAATTCACACATTTCCTCTTTCACACTTTTTGGCCAGTTAGATGTCCGTATTCAAGGGATCGTTATTCCACATTCGTACCAAAAAGGTGAGTGATGTAAAAAGCCTAAAAGTCCAATTCGTGGTTCGTCTCCCCAGTTAGACCGAATATAACCTGCAACATAAAACATGTAAAATTAATACTCAAGCTATATCATGTAGCCCACGGTGGTTCAGTGAGTAAGGTGCTGGCTCACTTAACAGGAGGTCCCAGGTTCAATCCCGGTGTAGGTTGAGAAAGTACCTCACGATTTGTCAATTGTGTTGAGCAGAGGGCCTGCTGGCAAGGAACAGTGTTTGATAGTACTGATGTTACAATTGTGTGCACATAAAAGAACTGAATAGTGTTTGATGGTACTATGTTACAATTGTGTGGGTGTAAAAGAACTGAATAGTGTTTGATGGTACTGATGTTACAATTGTGTGGGCGTAAAAGAACTGAAGAGTGTTTGATGGTACTGATGTTACAATTGTGTGGGCGTAAAAAAACTGAATAGTGTTTAATGGTACTGATGTTAAAATTGTGTGGGCGTAAAAGAACACTATGACAGTTGGAATTTGAAATAAGAGTGACTAGACGCACTTTCTTTGTGGCAGCCTCACAGGTGCTGCCACAGACAAGTGAAAACCAGTGGCTGCCAGGCAAGATATGCCCACATTTTGCAAGAGATGGATAGAGAACAAGCTAAAAAAAACAAACACGATTTTTCGTACAATCAGGGGTCATAATCAAAAAAGTTATGATCTGAAATGTGCGAATATCGAAAGGAACCAAGATCTTTGAAATGTAAAGATATATTTTAAGTTTTATCAAAATCAGACAAAAATTGTGACCTCTAGAGGGTCCACAACCTTCGTATTATATACTTGTACACAATTTGCATACTAGGAGCGACCATTTTGTCATGCAGTTTCATTTCGATTTTCACGAAATTCGTACTCAACGGTCATTAGGGTATAACGATGATACATTTAAACATTTTATAAAATTGGATAAAGATTGTGACCTTTAGAGGGTCCAAAAGCTAAAAACATGATTTTTCGTACAATCAAGGGCCATAATCCAGGAATTTACGGTCTGATCTGCGCAAATATCAAAAGGAATCAAGATCTTTGGATTATAATCATACATTTCAAGTATCATCAAAATCGGATAAAAATTGTCACTTCTAGAGTGTCCACAACCTTGGTCTTACATACTTTGACACTATTTGCGTACAAGAAGCAGTCATTTTGTCTGGTTGCTGTCAGATTTTTACGAAATTCGAACTCAACCTTCATTGATGTGTAACGGTGATATATTTAAATTTTTTTTAAAATTGAATACGATTTTTAGAACAATCAGGGACCATAATCCAGGAAGTTACGTTTGGATATGCGCGATTATCGAGGAACCAAGGTCTTTGTGATTTAAACATGAATTTAAAGTTTCATCAAAATCAGATCAAAATTGTAGCCTTGAGAGGGTCCACAACTTTGATATACCATATTTTTACACTATTTGTGTTCGAGGGGCGGCCAATTTGTCTGGCAGTTTTGGTCCGATTTTTACAAAATTCAATTTCAAATGCCATTAGGGTGTAACGGTGATATATTCAAATGTTTATTTTAAATCGAATAAAAATTGTACAATCAAGGGCCATAATTCAGGAAGTTACGAACCGATATGTATCTACTCAACTAACACGGTTTATAAAAATAGAATAAATAAAAAACTTTGGATCAAGTACCATTGCTACGATACTCAACTAACACAGTTTATAAAAATAGAATAAATAAAAAACTTTGGATCAAGTACCATTGCTGCGATAATAAACTAAGTCTAAGTTATGCATTTTATCATTAAAATAATAAATGGTGCGGTTGTTCTAATCCATTATTCATTAAATATCACAGCCTTCTGGTGGTCTCTAGAGTTGATTATGAGTTTGTCATGTGGACAAATGCCTAATTAATAATTTATATAACATTTGAAGCCAAAAAAAGACCAGCAATAGACATTTTTAGCTTTTGAATAACAAATCTTTAGTAGAAAAAAATGTACTTGACGTACCTTTATCTTGCTTAAAGGACTTATTGAGATTACTGATTGTTACAATAGCATTAGGATTACTACCAACATATTCACAGTGATCCTGTCCTAATCCACCCTCATCACCAATACTCAAAAACTTGTCCATCAAATTCTGACCTAAGAGAATTTTATAACGATTTTTGTCACACAATACTACTCCAACAAATCTACCAACTTTGTATTTGGTTCTTTTGATGAACTGTTGTCCAAAACAGTCCGTGCGTGAGCTGTCATATGAAAATTGATACTCCACCCAGTCACTCGTTAAACTTAATTTAAATTCCAATTCCAACATATCAAGTCTTTTTTTCACATCGTTATTGGCTTGGAAGCTGATCACTTGTTTCTCTAGGGACTCCTGCTTTTTCTGCACCTTGCCTTGTGAAAAGCCTAAACTTTGGATATCTTGTTTAGCTATCTTCAGATCTTGGTCGATCTTGGACATCTTTGTTTTCAGTTTCCGTTCGGTGGTACCCAAATCCACTTGCATCAGAACGTTCTGGTCTTCCAAACTCGTTAGCAGACTTTGCATTTCTGTCAGCTGACTTTTTATTGTGGTGTTTTGATGTGCTATTTGAGTATCAATGATCGCGCCGACATTTTTAACAACAGTTTCACGGAGAGTTTTCATCATGTTTGATTCAGAAGATATCTTTCTCTCAAGTTCTGCATAAGTAGCTTTACTTTCATTTCTGTAATGTTCTAGAGATCTTTGGAAAATTTCTGCAAGCCGCTCCATCTTCCGTAGTGTTTTGGCATGTTCATCCAGTGTTTCTATAGTTGATTGACTGTCTCCTGTAGACTTGGTTACTGAATTCTCTGTTAAATTTTTCTTTAATTCTTCAAACAGCGTTGGCAGAGGTTGTAGTTTGACTGTTTTACTGTAAAAATCATCCATTGTCTGCGTGATGGATGTGATAGTGAGTTCTACAGTAGTGAGTTTGTCGTTAAGATATTTCACGTCCGACAGATGCTGATCTGACAAGTTGTCAACTTCCTCATCATAGGTATCGTGAACTGACTGTTGTTTTTTGACAAGGCTTATGACGGCTTCTATTTGATTATTTAAAACATCTTTAATTTCTTTTTTTAGCATTTCTTCCAACTGTACAATCATAGTGTTTCGACCAGTCGGAATATGATTGTTCTCTATCTTCATCTTGGTATCGGGAAAATTTCCTGCTAAATTGTCGCCAATCTCTGTGTCATTTGAAACATTTTTGGTGAGTTTCAATGGTTGATCGTTTTGTAATGGTATGTGGTTATTGTTTTCGTCTGGAACAAATTCTCCGAAAGTTGACCCTGTCTCATTATCGATGGCATCCTCCAAACTATTTGAAAATGTTTTATTTAATTTTACAGTGTTTGTCACATTTTTCAATACGTCTTCAACTTTATTAAGAATATTTTTTCCAGTGTCGTTAATTGTCCTCTTCATATTTTCTAGCTCTTCCAGCAATTTTACTTCCCTCTCCGATTTAGTATTTTTTTCAGGTTTTGTAAACTTTCCCCAGTTGGTCATTGGACTGAGGGACTGGTCACTGGTCATATCTGCGTCCTCATTGGAGAATTTGTATTGTTTGTCGTTACGTCCAAAATCACTTACTGTTCTTCGTTGATTATTTTCGAGATACGAAACTCTTTTTTCTATTTCCTCTAGTTTATCAACCTTGGACAACATGGTTTCCAAACTCATAATTTTGTCATTATTCAGAAGTCTTTCTTTGTGTATTTGTGTCTCTAGTTCGAGAACTTGTTGTTTATAAATATTTATTTTTGTTTCCATGGTGTTCATGCGGCGTTTCACCGTTCCGTCCACAGAACACGAGGTTTTTATTTTATCCCGTGGGACCACTAAACTCAGAACACAACTCTGATCCATGGACTGTATACTGGAGGCCATTATGAGACACAGGTTAATTAGCGCAACAACTGACTGAAACATTAAAGATTTCAGCGCCATCTTAAAAAATCGTAAACACACGACTCCCGTCAAACACTAGGGCTTATGACCACCTTTCTTTTAACTGAACATAAAAAACAAAAGTTCATGTAACTGGTCTACCATCGTGGTACATGTATTCCCGTCTGATAAATGGTGAAACTGTCGATCAACACAGACGTGAAAACACTTAGCTCTATATTTAGCGGACGGATAGAAAAGACACTGATTTCTTATCTTGATGAAAAATAAAGGTAGATCATCACTAGAACAATTAGTCATATAATCTTGTCATTCGTGTGCCAACTATTTTCTTATCCTCGTTAGAATGTTTGTGCAAACAGACAGCTTGGATCTTCATTCATAGCACTGTGTTGTCAAATCACTCACTTTACAAGACTTTACCCACTGCAAAAACACATTACTCGCATTTGAAATTGCAAAAACTTATAATCGGTCCTAAAAGTTGTGGCAGTAACCACAAAATAATCTTGTTTGCAGAAACAGAATGATGAGTATAAACTGTCACAAAGAAAAAAAAAATATCTATGTCTGGTGCCAACTACTTTGACTATGTCAGACTTTGCTATAATATTTGTTCTTCAAATAAACAAACTGACTGATAAAATTCAGTAATTGTTACACACCAGTGCTTCTTCTGTCTGAGGATTTTTTTTCAGGATATTGTGGGCGAAGGTATGAGAAAATAAACCAACCACTGTGATGATAAGCTTAGATTTTTTTCTTTATGTCTTTAGCAGATCAACCTGAAATAGTTACGAAAAAATGTCTTGTTAATGATACATTTTTTCACTTCCATAGATGATATATTGATAATTTAGTTAATGTTACCCCTTTTCACTTCCATAAATGATATATTGTTAATCTAGTTAATATTACCCTTTATTACTTCCATAGGTAATATTTTAATTGGGGTTTGACCCCCAAAATAAGACCCAACAGAAAGTCAGAAGCAATTTTTTTTTATTAAAAGATTTCCTGACTAGGTCACCTGCAACATAGTAAGATTGTAAGCTACACGGTAATAACATGCACGTGATGGTTTCAATGTTGTTGGTTTTTTTTTTATCAAAATGCCTGCAGGAGGCAGGGTACAACTTCGTATAATGTACATAACATAGATATGAAAACAGAAATTATTAAAAAAAATGCTAAAAGATATCCCCAGACATGTCCCAAGAACATAATAATTATAATTGTGTATTAAAAAAAAACAACAAAAAAATCTAGAAAGAACATTCACAAAACATGATTCAAAAAGAATATATAAAAATTCCAGTAAATTGTGAGTCAAAACAGAAAATTAAAAAAAAAAAAAAAAAAAAATAGAAAAAACTCCCCAAAACATGACTCACACAAAACAGTATTGTGAATCATTTGAGGAACATTATTGAATGTATTCATTAGGTTAAAAAAATTGTATGTGAATCAACTTCAGAATGATCTGAAAACAATATCCAAATGTACCGATACATAAAGTCGTCATTTCTGAAAATCTAAGAATCTCAGTGCATTGGAAAAAATCCAGATTCATCTCACATTAATTATATAAATCATACTTTAATAAATTGTGAAAAATTCATTAAAATATATATTTCTTATCCCAGAAAATATGGTATTCCACTCACTCCCCAAAGCTTGATCTCTCATGGTCCAGCACAACAATTATGTTCAGATTTGCTTTTTAACTTCCAAATATAAGCGTAAAACATTCATTACAAAAAAAACAAAAAAAAAAAAAGTTCAGATATGACGTTCATTTGTTATCTGGAGAAATATCTTATAAAGTTAAGATTTCCTTTAACTTAATTAATTGATCCAACAGTCACACTTTTCAAAAGAAGAAAAAAATATAACAGTGCTGCAACATGATCTTAATTATAAAGTGGTATGTTGTTTTCTGTTATTTGAAGACCGGAATATTTTCTTGATGAAAATGATTACGTAATTTAATTAAGGTAGGAGTCAAGTTCGACACAAACGTTTTTAATTGTAAGATAGAAATATAGATCTTATCATTTGAGAATGTTTTCGCCAAAAGTAATGAAAAATAGTGTTTAGTATTACCGTATTTTACAGTGTATATGTCCAAAAATGGTTCCGATTCTCTTCTCTATTTACTAGAGGATGATGAATTGAAAATTCTGTAACATTCCTTATCTTCTGCAGTGAAGATGATATAAAACATCCACATTGCCTCCTATAAGTGTTGAATAAAATCGTTTGATGGGTCCCTTTTTTGATCTGATTGAATCCAAGCCTAGTTAGGGGAGTGGATGGCCGAATGGTTAGCACACATGCGCTGTATCATACGGTCTGTCATTGAGTCAACTGGCAGGGTTTCGATTCCCCGGTTGTACATGACAAGGAGTAGGATCGCCTGTCCAACCTCGTGGGTTTTCTCCGGGTACTCCGGTTTCCTCCCACTGCTAAAGACCCCTACGCGCAAGCGAATTATTGAAATAATATTGAACCATATGTTTGTCCCAAAATGACCTAGTTTGTGTCGAGTGGACATTAAACCCCATTGATTTTGTTTTCTTAATTAAATGATAATAATTTAATAAACTGATAAAAAAAAAGCATAGTAATGCATTATTATATCTATCCTTAGAAAATAACATTAATTGTCAGAAACATATGAGAAATATTACGCTATTTACACCTGGAGTTAAAACTCTATTTTGAAATGTTGTGAAGTACCATTAGCATATCTTGTTTTGGAATTTTGACTTCGTTCAGCCCTTAAGCTGAATGTGGAGCAAATGATATTTCGCCCGCATTTCGGTGAATATTTAAAAAGCGTGAAAAATGATTGGATTAATCTGTGAAGAAATCATAGAATTTGATGATTAGCATATCTGTTTTAGAATTTTGACTTCGTTCAGCACTTAAGCCGAATGTGGAGCAGATGATATTTTGCCCGCATTTCTGTAAAATATTTAAAAAGCGTAAAGGATGATTGGATTAATCTGTGAGGAAATCATATAATTTGATGATTAGACTGGTTTATCAAGTACATCTGTTACCTGCTATAAGTTCATTAAGTCTTTCAAAATAGTGTTATGTCTGGGGAATCAAGGTTTAATATGGATCCTCCCTTAATCTGATTCACAAGTATGTGAAACAAAATATTTTGAAAAAATGTCTGTTCCAAGGAAACTCATTTTCAGTCCATCAGACCAAAGAACTTATTTCATACTCTTGGCCATCGTTCTGTTGATCAGCTCCTAAAGGAGCTGGATGAGGGAACCTGAAAGGTTTAGACATTTTCAGACAAATTCTCCTCTAAAAATACTTGATGGATTTCAACCTACTTAGGTAGGTACATGTATGTTGCTTGAGTTATGCTTATTTAATTTGTTCAATTTTGATCAGCCTCATAAGGGCAGGGTGGCAGGTTCCTGAAAAACACTCAATATTGCACAATTTTTACTTCTTCTCCACAACCAAATTTTGTTTGTATGTTCTGTCAATGTTGTTAATATGTTAATGGTAATTCAGATGTGCAGGAAATTACCAGCATTTATTGAGGAATACTGATTGGGTCACATGTCTAAAGTTTCCACTTTGATTCTTTATCTTTTAATGATTGAAATTAGTCATTTTAAAGGATTTTTAAAAAAAAAAAATAGAATGGTATGATGATGAATTAAACCCCGGATAATATGTCTAGTTGCAAGTCTAGTACTCCCAAGAGATATGGGCCCTAAAGTATGGACGATATATTATACAATGCTCTTACTTGAGTTAAAGTAAAATTTTCTTATCCCTTAAGCGGAAGATGTTGGTTTTGTTTTGCACATGAGCTGTTCAAAATATCTTTATGAAACATTGTACTTATAAAACATTGTACTTGTGCTTTTTGATACTTGCAAATTTCCCGGTTTTTAACCATTTTTGTGTTTGAATGAAACAAATTTGATTGCTTTATTGGTATACAATATTTATCCGAGGGCCCTGGAGGTTGATAACTTAAAGTCTTCTTGTTGATTTTAATTGAATTTCATGTGTTTAATACTGTATTTTAGAGATTATATTTATCTTGCTTAGACACATCAAGACATAGGTGTTTATATCGACAAAATAGTAATCGTCAATGTTCATTTCCCAAAAATTGAAAAACTAACAGTCATGATGCGTTTCATTTTATCTTGTGATGTTTTAAATTTAATTCTTATCTCCTTTTTGAAAATTACTGCTAATAAGGAAGTTAAAATTTTGAAGCAATGAAAAAGTATAAATGATAAATTTTTACCTTGAATAGTCGATCTTGAATTTGATTTATGTCAATTCCTACTAGCGGAAACTTGATAAACACATTTAAAGAGTACGAAAATATTCACATTAAGATGTTTATCCTTGATGCCTGTAATATGGTCACATACTAATTTCTAATTAATTTACAACTCTGTTTGAAATTCAAGTAATTAATTCCTCGTTATTTGAACATGTCTTGACACCATACTTGTGTCTGCTGTTAACTGAACATATGCAGTGAGGATCATATGTAAAGTGGAACGCCACCTTCACTAAACACTTGAAGTGTGAGAGATCCCGTGTAATAGTAGCTAGTTCCTGCTTTAATATATATATATATGTATATGTATTAAACATGTAGACGCTTGATGCTATATACTTCCAACACAGGTGGTCCATTCGTCTGCTGGCTTAAAGGGGCAGACGGCTATAATAGCCATTTTGTACTCTGCAGTAAATATTGTTTTTGTGCATCTACATCAAATGTTTTTTATTTTTTTGTACTATATCCATTTTGTTTTCTGCTCTGTTAATGGGCGTATTGATACAATAATATCTTATCTTAATGCCCAAATACAATAAAAATCAGTTTTGAACATATATGTTAATTTAAAATAAAAAGTGTTAGTTTTTTCTGAAAAGTCATCTTGTAATATTACACAGTCTGTATGTACTACAAGCATCGCTAATGTATAAGAAAATTTGTTTACATATAATAAAGATAGTGTAAATAAAAAAGACTTGTTTTTCCAAATTTGAAAAACATGTGCCTTCTTGTATTTCTTTCTAAAAGATATCTTAAATTGTAATTTAATAAAATATATTTACTGCAGATCTGTTTGTCATACACAGAAATGTGTTTTACATGCATATTAATTTATCATAAGGAACTTGCAGTTCTGAAAAATAATGTATAACTTAGAGGAAAGCTGGGGGTATACATGAAGGTAGTAGAAACTCTTGGCACCGGATTGAATTTCTCTTTCTAAAAATATCAAATGTGCCATTTTATGATATTTAAAATTTCTATAAGTATTTATAAAAAAAATTCCAACACAGTAGTAGTAGGGTTATACCGCAGACTATTAGTAGTAGTAGGGTTATATCGCAGACTAGTAGTAGTAGTACCGCCCGGTGGTACTAGTAGTAGTAGTACAGGGATTAACATCAGCATCAACCTGGGAATTATATCGCCGACTAGCAGTAGTAGTAGTACAGGGATTAACATCAACCTAGGGATTATATCGCTGACTTGCTGATTTTGAAGGAAATTCTACTCCCTTTATTCTCACTTCCAGCTGAAAGCAAGATTTATCCAAAAAGTAAATGATTCACCAGTTATAAACAATATTTACATATCAATATTAGCTTGCTGTCATTCTGTAAAAGTTATTGTATGTTCTAAGGCCAGACAGGAAGCGATGTTCATCCAAACAATATTTTGTTTTACATATTAATGAGTTTATGTCAAGGTAATGATATTTACATGGAAATATCTAGTGCGTGAAGATGTTTTTCTGAAAAATGATCGTAGTAGATGATATTCACAGATTTCTCATTTTGAGAGAAATAAGTACGTAATTTCAAGTAGCAATTGGAGGCATGATAATCCTTTACATACTGAAGTACAATATCAGCCCTATTCTTCTGATCATTTTTTACTGGTAAATAAATCAGCAAGACTTTTATCATTTGGAGATCGATCTTTTACACCCAAATTATGGAATTCTTTACCTTTTAATATAAGATGCTGCACCAGTTAAGTCACTTGTTAAGATGTTTTTGTTTAAGAAAACCTTTAACTTATAATCCTTATCTACTTTTAAAACCTATTTATGTATATTTATTTTTATTGCATGTTTTATTGAATTTAATTGTACAACACATCTGAACACGTCTTGTGGAAAATAACGCTCTATAAATGTTAATAATAATAATAATGTAGCCTAAATTTTAGAAGTTATATTAAGTGTTCAAGAAAGGTTTCTAAATTGAAATTCTTTATAGGTGGTAACCTCAAAGAAAAGAGTCACGGATGAATCACTCAAAAAGATGTTTATACAGTAATCCTGATGTATTTTAATTTAGTAATTTTAAAGGCGTCTTTAGTTGAAAAAATTGAATATTTGGGGGATGAAGAAATTTTTTCTAAAAGATTTATAATGCCATGCCACTGTGAATCAGCAGGTTTTATTGCCAGTATTTCACAATAGAGTCCAGTAACCAGTTGTATATATTAGAAATAACCCTTTAATTGACAGTAATGGAACTTGGAGTTAACATGTCAAGTGCATAGAGATAAATATTATTATTAAAGTGTTTACCTCATACAGATTAAAATTTCTTTAAAACTCTGGTAACATAAATTTTAGTTGAAGTTCATTATGAAATTTGTAAAATAGGGAAGTTCCTGTCTAGTGAAGTGGTTCACTAGGTAAGGAATATCAAAGCTTCAATAGATTACTTAGAGATTTTCGCTAGTAAAAAACAAAGTTTGATTTGCCATGATATTTCTTTTCTTTTTGAAAGTTTTAATGTCACTTTAAAGTTTAATTGCATTGTTGAGCAATCAACATAATTTATATAGGAGAAAACATCCAAATTTCAGAAACTTCTGTCGATATATATTAGACTGTAAATTAAACTGCATCTATTTAAGAAAATGATAAGTCATATCCTTGAGCATGATGTACTTAATGTATAAATGAAATAGCTGAATCAACATGATGATGAATAATGCAGTATGTGATTCATTATTACAATTTCATTGAAAAAAAGATTTGGATTTGTAACCAAAAAGCATGACAATTTGGTCCACCATCTAGAACTTCAACCAAACCTTTATAATTATTATTTGCTTATTAAAGATGCATTATGTAAGATCTAGATAAAGAACTGACTGTTATGTAAGATTTAGATAAAGAGCTGACCGTTCTTGGTATAATTGTTCAAAAATAGATATGTAAAATGAATATATTGAAAATTTTATTCAAATTACTTTATTCTGAGTGAAGGTATCACTGTTTTAAGTTCTGACATGATGTGTCATAGATTGTTTATTATTATAACACTGATACTTGTTAGTCGAGACTTAGCTCGATTCGCCATTTTTCAATTAAATTATTAAATGACTACCATCTTTTAATCTGTTTAAATCTCTGCCATCCTATGGCCTAGAGAGCTGATCGTAGGCTTGTCATGTGAATAAATGTCAAATTATTAGTTCACATAACATATCTAGCCAAAATAAAGATGTGAAATAGTTCGATTTAGCTCTTACATAATGCATCTTGAATATAAGCTATGCTTATTGTCCCCTGTCTTTGACGAAACAGGTTCGTCTGTCCTTCATAGTTTTTGGAACACCAATAACTCAGGTATTGGTGTTTATTAGGTGGATGCTAATAAGCAGGGGTTAATGATGTGCATTTTCTGCTGTGGTTAAGCAAATTGAGCAAGTAATTTGGTTGATCGATACTTTGGAAAATGATAACTTTGATTCCAATTCAGTGAGTGTGATGAAACTTGGTGTAGATTCATTACATCAACAATGACCATTTGGTTGCTTGATGCTTTACGAAAAGACAAATATATTGTCTATTTCTTTTGGATAATTCCTGCATTTATTCATGACCAAAAATTCTCATTTCTGCAAAAATACTTGTATTTGCTACCATAACTTGCCAGAAATTATTTTGAATTTTTTAGAATATGTGACTTTTTGTTTTAAACTCAAGTTACTGTGTTTAACATTGGTATGATGACAAAATATGTAGCAAGTTTATTCTAGGCGTATATTTAAATACCGTTGGATGTTGAGGAGATTACATGAAAGTTTTCTGTGAGACTTGGTATGTAATCTTGATCAAGTTTTGTTTTCTGACACATTTATGTAAATATCAACAGAAAAACAACAATTGTTCCATATAAATGCTCACAAAAAATGGAAATTTTTACTGCTTGTTGATGTATTGTTCCATCCAGAGAGTCATGATATTTTGGCTAGTTGATGCTAATTTACCATATAAAACACTGTTTTATTTGTCATTTTCCGAAAATATGATATTATAGTCCAACACCACTGGCTTTATATCACTCAGCTGACTTAAGACTTAAGTTCGGTCACATGAAACAAAGAAAATTGTGATCCATATATGGGAAATGGTATTATATGTTCAAGAAGACTAAGCATACATTGTCTTGTGCACTACACCTGTCACTAATTCTAGTTATTTAAAGAAACTTATTGGACTTGAATATCAAAAGATCTATTGGGGATATGGTGGATGAGTGGTTGGAACAATCCCAATGCAGACATAAAAGAACCTTTTTAAGGGTGGTGCCTGTGAGGATGACAGAGAAATCCCACCCCACCCCACCCCATCAGGTCCTGTATATAAATTCGCAGTGTATGTTAAAGATGCTTTGGCAGTTGGAATTTGAAGAAATGTATAAAAAAAATGCCGCTGTAGAGGCAAAATTCTCCCCTCGCATTGCATAGGAAACAATTACTGTATGTTAGTCTCCAAATTGTGTTGACAAGACTTTTAACCCCATTCCGTTCCATTCAAAGAGATCTATTAAGTTATTTATTGTTTATAAATTATTCCATTCCAAGAGATCTATTAAGTTCACACAAGGTACAATTTTTATGGATACACAATTACTGAGTTTTAATACTAAGTGACGTTTCGACTAGGATACTCTCGTCTTTATAAAGCAAATGATACAGATAAGTTCTTTATTGTTTATGAATTATTCCATTCCAAGAGATCTATTAAGTTCTTTATTGTTAATGAATTATATTTAATTGTTGATAGTTTATGGTATATAACTAGATCAGTAATATTACAATGATTTATTATACTTTTCTTGGGGGGGTTGGGTGGCTGAATGGTTAGCACGTGCGTGCTGTATCATACGGCCTGTCATTGAGTCAACTGGCGTGGTTTCGAATCCCCGGTTGTACGTGACAAGGAGTAGGGTCGCCTGTCCAACCTCGTGGGTTTTCTCCGGGTCCTCCGGTTTCCTCCCACTGCTAAAGACCTCTACGCGCAAGCGAATTAATGAAATAAAATTAAACCATATGTTAGTCCCGAAATGACCTAGTTTGTATCGAGTGGACGTTAAACCCCATCTCTCTCTCTCTCTCTCTTATACTTTTCTTAATTGACTAGAGATCAGCAGTAAATCAAAGATTTGTTTTATTTAAATCTACATTACAGCATATTACAAGATCTTTACCATCCACTTGTTTTTTTCTATCTCCTATTATTTTTTCTTCACGCAGGGT